ATTATAGAAACAGACGTATTAGACTACGCCCTAGGAGCTAGACTAATATAGCTAGGACTAGATAGGAAATATTGACTAGTTGTATTCTAGTCAAGAAAGATAATACCTATAGAACTTAACTATGATATATACGATAAGGAACTACTAGCTATAGTATTAGTATTCTAAGTCTAGAGAGTATATTTAGAAGGAGCGAAATATACAGTAATGGTTAAATCTGATCATAAAAACCTTACCTTTTTTACCACTATAAAGGTTCTTATATAATAACAAGCGCGATAGGTAGAGACCCTTATATAATATAACTTTAGAATCGAATATTATAAAGGAATAGAAAACAGCTAAGTAGACGCGTTAAGTCAGCGACTAAACTATGAGTTAGGTACTAAAGCAGCGGAACCTACTATACTAAGATAAAACTCAGATGGTACTATCTTGTATAACAAATAGTTACTAGCTGCGATAGTAGAGGTCGAAGATAGTGACCTATTATAACGAATTAAGAAAGAACTAGAAACAAATATAATTAATTAACTCCTTAGAGAAAATAATAAACTCGTTAAAGACGAAAGTAGTCTATTCCACCTATATAGATTAATCTATATCCTAATTAAACTCTAAGAGGAAGTAATTAAGAAATATCATAATAACCTTACTTACAGATATATAGGAATAGAAAAGATAGTAGAATACATTTCGCGAAATTATTATTTTCTAAATATAAACCGTAAGGTTAAATTCTATATCTAAGGCTGCGATACGTGCTAAAGGAATAAGCCCGTATAACACACACCCTACAGAGAATTATAGCTATCTAAGATACTAACTACCCTATAGGAGTGGATTACTATAGACTTTATCACGAAGCTACTAGTCTTAGAAGGACACGATATAATCATAGTTATAGTTGATAGGCTTACTAAGTATACCTATATGATTCCGACTATAGAAACTATTAACGTAGATTAAATAGCGAATATAGTCCTATAATATGTGGTTGTAAACTATAGACTACTAGCCAGGATTATATCAGACAGAGACAAGTTATTTATATTAAATATGTAGCAATCCTTTGTAGATTAAATAGGTATTAAGCTTAGACTCTCTACAGCATACCACCCGTAAACTAACGGTTAAACCAAAAGAGTAAACCAGACCCTAAAGTAGTACCTACGACACTACGTAAACTACTAATAAGATAACTAGGCAAGACTACTACTAATAGCACAACTAGCGTATAACAATACTATTCACTCTACAACCCGAGAATTACTGTTCTTTACTAATTACAGGTACAACCCTATGGTTTATAGACAACTAATCGGCAAAGCAGCCGTGGCAGAATCAGCGAGACTAAAGGCTAACGGGCTAAAACAATTACATCTATAACTATCCAAAGATATCGACTTCGTTAACCTACGGATAAAGAAGTATTACAACCAAAAATACAAGAAGGGACCTAACTTAAAGAAGGGAGAAAAGATTTATCTTTTACGCCGTAACATTAAAACCAAGCGACCTAGTAACAAATTAGACCACCTATAGTTAGGACTATTTAAAATTAAAGAAAAATTAGGATTAGTTAACTATCGCTTAAAGCTACCAGAAAGTATACAAAAACTCCACCCAATATTCTATATCTCATTACTTAAACCCGTACCAAACAACGCTAAACTTACGACAAATGTAGAAATCGAAGAAGAAACTGAAAATAAATATAAGGTCGAGGAAATCCTAGAAATAAAACGAATAAGTGGAAAACCTCACTATTTAGTAAGATAGAAGGGGTACGATACCTCTGAAAATACGTAGGAACCTATCGAGAACCTAAGGGGCTACCCCCAGTTAGTTTAATAGTTCCACTAATACTAGTAGCGGAAAAAGCCGGGCTGTCCTAGAAAGATGACAGAAGATCGGTAATCTCAACTAATATCTAATCAAAGTTCAGATATTTAGTAGTAGTAGTAAGCTGCTCGAGGTCCAGGGTAGAGGTATCGGCCTACCTAGAGGGGGAATTGTACTTATTAAGGATTTTAAGTAATTCGGTATCATATTCTAACATTTTAAAACCCTTTTATTTTAGGAAAGTTATTTGTTTTCGTAAACGACGCTAGCGAGATATAGCTTCCTAATATTATTTTTATTTATTCAATACCTTTTAATACAACTCCATGAGATAGGATTGCAACGCGGACAACTTAAGCTCTAACAGATCGAGTTTACTTTCATTCTTTTTAATATCAGAGGAAATCTTATCCTTAGCATTTCGTAATAAGTCCCATTCCTAACTAGTGTAAAATTCACGCTTATATAAGCGGCCCGCTCAGATACAGGACGTACATTTTAAATAACAACAAGAACGATCTATTATATAATCAATACTAGTACTAAGACAATAGTCATAAGGGGTGGTAGTCACAAAACTATTAACCTCGATATAATTAGCCTAGGTATAATATACAATCGAAGAGTTATGGGGGAGTTTAGGAATACCTTTAAGGGAAGAGTCAGCCTTACGTTTAGGTATAACGAAAACATATTATTTTAAAGAAAAGAAAAATCTATTACCTACCGGAGGGGGGACCGCAGATTTATAAGTCTTAGGGACGAAACTCCTAGGAAGAGGGGAGGTAATGTTACAGGCCTATCCGTTACTAGTTAGCGGTGACCCACTAGGCACACTAATAGGCTATCGAGAGCCAACTAGCAAATCTGCTAAGCAGATCACGTATAATATCCTATACTTTAGCGTTCCTAAGTGTCTGGAACAAGAAAAGCTGCGGTTATGATCAGTGAGTACAGGGGTGATCACTCTAACCAAGGGCCTACTTTCAGGGACTAACTGATACGTATGCGCCTATACGTACCAGTAACCTTCTACCACCACAGCTACCGCTTTAGGTTAAGAGCACCACGTGATCATACAGGTAGTAGAACAGTAGACAGTCGAACAGTAGAATCTACCAAGAAGATTCTACTAAGCTACTATCTACCTATCTACACGGGAAGAACTCCAGGATATATAAGGACACTTATTCATATATCTAGTTTAGTTCTTCGTCTTCAATCATACATTGTTACTTATATTTACCTTTTAGACTACTGTGACTCTTTACTTAATTATAACTTGACAACACTCACGAGCAGACCAATACCCCAGTATAGATCTACTCGGCGCTCTCACTGGCATCGTTCCTCGATCTCTCAACAGGACTTAGGCTACAGTAAGGCCTTGCAGGCAATAGCTCAGTTACGACAGGTCGTTGACGTTGGATACACGAGGAGTATTAAGGCAAGTATACCCGGAACCCATCTAACCTAACTGTGACCAGTTAGCAGTGCGTAACACTTCCTCTATATATAATTTTTAAAGGTAAAGTCTTTATTAAATCTTAGTTCGATAGCGGCCTCCTAGGCGATTAGCGATTCGAAGTTAGTCCTAATAGTTAGACCTCTAATAAAATTAGACTTTAGTAGCTTAAAAAGCTCTTTATTCCTACTACTTCTTCGCGTACGAAGGGGGGGTATCGGCTTTTAATACTCAACGGCTACAGAAGTTATTTAATACCTAAATTTAATAAAATCTATAAGAGAAATAAGGTAATACTAATTTATATACCAGCGTATTTATCTTATCTTTTATAACCTCTCGATATCGGCTATTTTATAGTATTAAAACGGTCGTACAGTCGGCTAGTCGAATTAAAGATATAGGGCAGGATAAATTATATTAATAAACTTGATTTCCTCGAAATATACCCCCTTATACGAATTAAAGCCTTTAAATCGGAGACTATTAAAAATAGCTTCGGAGCAGCCGGTTTAGTCCCCTTTTTACCAGAGAGAGTGATTTTAAAGCTTAATATTTAGCTTCGAACCCCGACCCCCCCAGCTAGCCGGGGTAGTGAATTAAGCTAGAATTTCACCCTAAAAACCCCCTATACAGAGAAAGAACTACGTCGATAGGCTTTATTAATCAAAGCTTTACTTCGTATAAGATCTCGAAGTCTACCTAGCCCGTTAGATCGTATATTAAACTAGCTTATAAAAGGCTTCCGTCTTATAATATAAGGTACTATCTTACTCGCTAAAGAAAATAAGGAATTACGTACCGCTAACGAGAAGCAGAAGTAAAAGCGAGCTAGGTCTAAAAGACACATCCCCGCCGAAGAAGGCCTCTCAGTTTAAGAAGTATCTATATTAATTATGCAGCCGGAGGAAGTAATTGAAGCACCTCCCCCCAGTCCCGGCGTATATGGAGAATCGGGTTTACAGCCACGTATAAAGCCCCCCCGGGGGTGTGGTATATGTAGAAAGCCAGGACATAGAAGAGAGACGTGTCCAGATAGATGATGAATTTAGTTTATTTAATTTAAGGGCGTTTTGGTTGAGATAAATGCATTTAAAATTAGTAGGTTGGGTTTACTGATCCACCCGCTTGTGTGATCCACTCGCATGTGAAATACATTATAAAGTGGTAATAAGTAGATTTACCATTATAAAGACAACACCTATTTACGGTACCCTCATCAATTTAAATAGTGAAAGCAGTAGTAATGTAATTAAAAGAATGTGGAAATTGCTACGGAGTATATATTCTACTAAATACCAGGTCCTTCAACCAATCAGCATGTTAGCTCAGGGGAAGAGCGCCGGGCTCATAACCCGGAGGACCCTGGAATTTTTTTTCCTTTTTTTTTCTACAACAGTATATCCTTCTAAGTTACTATTATTACTTTAGAATATATTGATCATGGAAGTAGCTATACCTTTGTTCTTTATGAAACCAACGTCATGACCTCATTGACTCTCGGATATAGCCTCACATTGCAACGTTCTTTCAACTCTTGTTTCTACCCAGACCATCATACTGATGTAATATATGGATGCATTTGAACCCTTCTAATTTATATTGTAGAAAGCGTATAAATATCTCACCATCGGGAAAAGTTCCAATTTAGTTTCATATTATTTCCCGAATTCGAACTCCCCAAAACAACATGGCAGACGATAGTATTGAACAGCACCACCTTCACAAGTAAGACATCCACCATACCCCCAACTAGCCATATTCTTACATTTACAAGGGTCGGCAAGTGGATGCCAGCAGACCACAAAGCTCACAAAGAATGGTTGGGAGGAATCATCCGGAAAGTAGATGAGAATGAGGAGAAAACCCTCCACCCAGTCCTAGAGGAATTCAAGCAGCTCATCGAAACAAACACACGTGTATACATGCTCTTGACTGGGATGTTCAAAGAAGTCCCACGCAAGAAGCCATACGTCCACGACCCAACAGGCAATCCTGAAATCCGGGACTATTCCCACTTCCTACATGTTCTCAATCATCTCCTCACTACTGCACCTACCTGGACCGACAAGGCGCACCGCGTCGGTCTAGTCGGTCTGCCTATCAATGCCGTCCTCGACTGGCCAATGGGTACACCGAGTGGGTTTGCAGCCCTCCTAGATCCTGAGATCAACGCAATGCTCAAGAAGGTCTTGAATGTGTGGGGCGATTTCCTACGCTCTCCTGCTTCTGCCGATGTGTTGAATGACTCCTCTCATGGATGGTTCGGTGCAACTGGTATTCGGGATCTTACCGCTGCTGCCAAGGTTGGCCCGATGGCTGCCAGCGATTTGCAGTTCCATGATCTATTCGAATGTGACCCATCGGCACCAAATCACGGATATAAGTCGTGGGATGACTTTTTCACCCGTAAGGTCAAAGAGGGAATTCGTCCTGTCGAAGACCCGGAGGATGGAAAGGTTATTGCGAACGCGTGCGAGTCGAAGCCGTTTAGGGTTGCGCATCATGCTCATGCTCGTGACCGATTCTGGGTCAAGGGTCAGCCCTACTCTGTGCTCGACATGTTGGATCACAATGATCTTGCACCCCAGTTTGTTGGAGGGACTGTGTACCAGGCATTCCTTAGTGCTTTAAGCTATCACCGTTGGCATTCGCCTGTTACTGGCAAGGTTGTCAAGGCTTATGTTGTTGACGGTACTTACTACTCTGAACCTCTATTTGAAGGTGTTGGATATCCTAGTATGTCACAGAAGGAGATTGATATGGCGGGCCAGGTTACTTCGCAGGGGTATATTACTTCGGTTGCAACCCGGGCACTTATCTTCATTGAAGCAGATGAGCCAGCTATTGGATTGGTGGCATTTATTGGAGTTGGCATGGCAGAGGTTTCGACTTGCGATATCACTGTCAAGGAGGGAGATAGAGTGAACAAGGGAGATGAAATTGGTATGTTCCACTTTGGTGGTTCGACACATTGTCTTCTTTTCCGCAAGGGTGTCAATGTTTCTGGACTTCCAGAGCCTGGAATGGCAGAGAACAAGCCCGTTCGAAGCAAACTGGCTGTTGTCTCGTGAGGAAGGAGGTGCCTGAAATTGCCAATTTTGAGTGTAAATGCTGGCTTTGAGAAAGAACCTTTCATGATGCTATTTTCCTTCTTTCTTCCGACTATAAAACCAAAGAGGGAAAAGAAAGGATATAAAAAATGACTAAATACACTTACATATCGCCCGGATATGGCTTAATTAAGGATTATAGGGCAATTTGACTTCGATTTGCTCGTAGTTTATATATCACCTAAATAGACTATTCAGAGATACTACCTTCTCATCTGCACCTCCCACATTTTCGTCGCTTCAACTTGCCTCGTCTTTTCACCGACCAAATTCGGAAATTCTTCAAAAAGTAAAATGTAAATACGGTCTACGGCGTTCTAATGTTCAGCCCCCTAGGAAGTTGTTTATTTACAAATGAACTCCCTGATGTTAGCTCGAACATCCATTCTGATATGATGTCTACTTTTGTGATATTGGTGTTTTTACTATTCACCCACGGCTTGGCTGAAGATCGCCACCCCCTTGTTGCATCCCTTGGTGCTCTCCGCGTATTGCACTATAACAACCTTGGCCCTCAGAATAACGGTACATCGGCTGTTTTAGTATATCATTCAACCTATGTCGATGCCGTTACAAAATGTACCTCTATTGGAGAGAAACTCTTCCCATGGCCAACGAGGGGAAACAACACTCACACCGAACTCGATTACGAACTGGATTATCTTGTCTTTGAGAAGAAATTAGAAGCCGATGATCACTTGTGGCTATTCACAGAAGAAGATAGCAAGGACTGTTTTGCTCTCTCGATCTCCCATCGCAACCTCGTACAGAAACCATGCAAAGACGAATTACCAGTCCTCTGTACCTCATCTCCGCCAAGGACAACAAGTCTCGACCGAACCGCAAGGGAAACCACCAAACTGACTGTTACATCCGGCGATTATACCTTGACCGGATATCGAGATGCGCGCTCCTTCCGCTTCCTCGGCGTGCCCTTTGCAAGTCCCCCAATCGATGATTTGCGCTTCGCCCCACCGCGACCATATACAGGATCGAAGAACATCGATGCGACTAGGATGGCAGACTCATGTATGCAATCTCCTACAAGTATGAGCGCTGCGCCTATCGGTGGAATGTCCGAGAACTGTCTGTACTTGAACATCTTCACCCCGTTCCTGCCGGGCAATGTCACTACAAACACCGCGCTCCGTCCCGTGGCTGTTTATCTGTATGGGGGTGCATTCAAAAGAGGTACTTCAGCCATGATTGATTATGACGGGGGAAATTTCGCAAGCCGCAGTGATGTGGTCGTCGTCACGCTTAACTACCGACTCGGAGCATTGGGCTTTCTGACGACGGGGAACCTGACAACTGGGAGCTATGGTATTCGAGATCAGATCATGGCCTTGGAATGGGTACAAAAGCATATTTCAGCCTTGGGAGGTGACCCCTCACATGTTACTGTCTTCGGGCAGTCATCTGGTGGTCAAAGTGTGGTTGCTCTGCTCTCTTCCACCGCAGCAAAAGGTCTCTTCTCTGCCGCGCTGGTGCAATCAGCAAACTTCGACCTCCCGTGGTTCCCTCGCGGTCTTTACTCTCAATACATTGCCCCAGAAGTCGGGAAAGCAGTTGGCTGTGACGGAAATGCTTCCGAACCCAGTCTTCTCAAGTGTCTTCGTTCCGTCCCAGCTTCAATGTATCTTGATAACTCAACTGCTTTCCAAACTGCACTAACAGCTTTCTCATCCAATATCGCAAATCACTTCTACCAAAGTACAGCACTGATATCTGCAGCGGAACCATTCATGCCGATGGTAGACGATACCGGATCTGGTCTAATCGATGATCAATTCAATACCCTCCTAATCAATAACAACCTCCCTATCCACGTCCCAACAATGTTCACCACTGTCCGTGACGAGGCAAGTCTCTACATGCACATTATCGACTCGATCCAGGCCCCATTCGCTGCCTTGCTTAACATCACACTCGGTGACGCCCTCGCGCAGAAAATAATCTCATCCGGCACATACAACGTCGATGAATCGAACCGCAATGTCGTCCTTAATGCTGTTTCTGATGCCGTGACCCACAGCCAGTGGGCCTGTCCGCAGGGTTATCTTCTCGATAATTCGCATACCTCCTTCCCATCCCTATACGAAATCCAAATAGCAGATGGCCATGCGCAGACATCACATATGCCAGATATCTGTTACCCGAATACTGTATACAACGCTTCCTGTCATACATCGGAGATCTTGCTCGCGTGGGGCACATTGAATACCAAGACTGAAGATGTGCATCCATACTACGATGATCGGGATATTCTTCACTCGCAGCTCATCCATGATGTATTCGGTGCGTTTTTCCGCGAGAGAAACCCAAATCCGGATTTGGAGTTTTTGAGAGTCCGTGGTCCTGCGTATGCAAGTTCTCTTGAGATATTTGGTGGGGAAGGGGGTTTGAATTACTCGCTTGGACGTCCTGAGAAGGGATTCCATATTGAACAGTATGCGCCGGAACGGAATATGACGCTTCTAGGAATGCCGCCGTCTATTACGATGAATTTTGAGAACAAGGACATTTGTGCTGTGCTGCGTAATTATGGGTTTACCTTTCAGAGGGCGGCGTTGTCTGATTAAATGTTGAGTTATGCTTTTAACAAAATCGCAATGAACATTTCTTGAGCTGATATAGCTCACACTGGAATTCTATCACCCCTTGTATATATTATCTACACGACTCGGTTTCAACATGAGATCTACGCGATGCAGTTTATTGTCGTGTGCTCCGATATATTGTCAGCTTGAATATTCAGTATTTATTCGAATGGTGAGTATCATTGATGCGAAGAAGCGTAAAGATCCAGAAGTGAAGCGCCAGATCGAGAGGACCACCAGAAAGAAAGAGTGGAATGCTAGGCTCGTGGATAGAGGTGCCAAAGGAAAGAGTCGGAGACATGGTGAATAGACAGAACGAATGGAAAGCAATGAAAAGAAAATGCTCATATGCTCAAAAGTGGAATATAACAGAAGAAAAAGATTCGTTAATGCATCAGCATGGAGCACATGAAAATTATTCGTAAATCGGAACCCTCCGTGACGGAACGTATCCGTCATCTTCAGGCACAGTTGCCGGGGGATATCGCTTTGCAGAACTTCTTGGGCTCGCCCATCCGGTTGATCGGGGGTGGAATCCAGCACTGCTGTATGATCGCTGCCGCTCAGATCCACTGCCTCCACTACTGGGTCGACTATTCCCCGTACTACCACCACTATAGCTTCCCCGTCTCATCTCATCAGCGGCGTAGGATCCTAGATGTCTTGGCATCGCTCTTGGTGGAGGGGGCGTCGATGACCTGTAGAAAGGTGGTTCTGGAGCAGTTGGAGCAGGGGCCGGGTCGCCAAATATGAATTCGTGGAATTTGACGCCCGCTGTGCGTGTTCGAGAACGGTCTTTGGGGTTTTCAGTTGGGTAATCTCTCAGATGATCCCTTATATGTTCTCTCGGACGAATCTTTGGCGAAGGCTCAGATTTGCTAAATCGTGAAGAGTGGCTTTCATGCTCGCGGCGCTGTCGAGTAGGACTTGTGGGCGACAGATCTCGGAACGGTCTGCGCGTGTAGGCTTCGTGGGAATGACGTCTGGCGTTACCGCTTGAAGGTGGTGATAGATGGCGCCGCTCTTGTCTATTTGATTTCGCACGGTCCTTGCGGTGACGGGCCGACTCATCTGAAGACACATCAGAGACATCTGGAACAGCTTGGTCTCGTCCACTTGGCCGGTGCTCTCGCTCCCGCTCTCGCTCTCCCCATGGGGGAGGGGATGAAACTCTGGGAGTTGAGAATCCCGGTCGATTTGGTATAGGCTTGCGTGTAGCATAGGCGGGAAATTCTCCGCTATGGTATCGGCGGTGATGGCGAGGCTCCCTACGTCGATCTGTCTCCGCATGACTGTGACGCTTTGGCGCCGTCCGGCGTGGACGGGAGAAGTAATCATCTTCATCGGGTAGAGGATCCTTACCACTAAAATGGTAATGATAACTCCCAAAGTCTGGCGGGGAAGCACGTTTCGTATGTCTTTTTAAATAGTCACGCTCCAATCGTCGACTCACTCCTTCATGCCATTCTAGCATCTCTGGGTCGGGCTCGGAAGGGAACGCGTCCCGAGGAATCGTCTTTGGAAAGGGCTCGCCATTCGCGCCCGCAATATCCCAGAGGTTGACCGCATTCTGTAAATATACCGAGTGTTCATCTGGGTCCATCAACAGTTGTATTGTCTGCCACCGCACAAAGCCATTTGGAAGTAACGATGGAACGGATGGAGGTTCGTAAGGGTTGGCTGAGGGTTGGAGGCTGTGGAAACATCCTAGTGACTGGTAGATGAATGACAAGGCTTGTGCCTTGGTCTCCAGGAATAAAGGGTCGTAGTTTCCACCGACTTTGCGATAAAAAGTAGCAAGTCTCTCAGGAGTTATATCAGTGGTACCGTTGGAATCGAAGGAGGACTGGAGATGTTAGTAAGGTCTCAACCCCATCGGTAGAACTTACCATCAACTGGGCGATCCCTAGACATAGCTGTTCTAGTAGTGGGGCTGGGCTTTTATCTGAATTGATCAATGTACCCCAGTGAATATCCGAAGCCATGAATGCGGGGTATTAGGTAGTGAGAAGTGCATGCAAATGCATCAAAGCATTTCATCCAGGCGTGGAGAGAAGACGGTGACAACAGTCGGAGCGGTCAGGCACAAATGGGACCCACTGCGGGGAGGAACCAAAGAATTCGAAGTATGAAATTTGATAGAAGAATAGAACATTAACATAGATGTTAAAAAATATTAAATAGAAGATATTAACTAGAAGATATTAACATATGTTAACATATTCTATCTTGATTCTATCTGAACATGTGATAAGATGTCATTACCCGTGACTCACATTGCATGACAGTGAAGCCTGATGTGGCGTACCCAACAATTACCAAAAAAGGAAAAAAAAGGTCTTAATGTATTTCAAAATAATAATATTGAGTCTTCTGCCTAGGGACTATCTTTTAGGCTTTGCTGCATAGAACAGCCCAATGACAGTAATCAAGAAAAGTACCGAGATAGTATTTTTAGTTTCATTCCTGTCCTCACATTGAAGTATGTTCTATATACTCTACTCAACCTTTCAGCTCGAAGAAAATACAGGAATTAGATATGGAATATTCTTTATCTAGTGCCTAAGTTCTATCATGATGTTGGATCTTCTTTTGTAGTTTCCGTGGCATTTAAGTCTATTGATTAAGCAAGAGAGTTTGTACCTTCTAACTATGGGCATCCATTATAGGGAAGCCTTGTTATATGTACACATTATCTAATATAGTTAATAGCGGTAGGAGTGACACTATTTCTATATACTCCAATATCCTTCAGTAACGATCTTCAATATTTATTGCTATATTTCAAATTCCACAGTATCATTTCATGTGGTCCATAAAGAAAGGTTTGGCCATGAGTATACAGCATCGGTAAGAGAGGGGTCGAGCAAATCAAAGTCGAGATCCGGCTGCGCTAGGAACTCCTCCATGCTCTCTCCTAGGAAGGCCATGTCGTTTGCAGAATTTGTCGGTATGGTAACTTCGGGAATACCAGGGACATCGGTGTTCCCACAAGGTCCCAGCTGGTTAGGGGCGATTATAGCAAGTGAGTCAGTCGAGACCTCTGCAACACGAGACATACTCTGGGAACGACCGCCTTCTAACCCTCTCATCTCATCTAAGCACTGCTTCACGCATTCTAAATTATCGTAAAATTCAGTCGCAGCAAGATTTCCGTGGCTGCTCATCGCGCGCAGAATTTCAAAAGCTGCCTCGAATAAGGCAAAGTCATTGCTATTCTCGGGGTATACCAGACTGGAAATGACCATTATCAGGGCCGAAGAGAAGAGATAATGAGCATAGAAATATCCGAAGATTGGGAGTGATCCATTGGTCCATTCTTCCACGATTAGCGAGTGGGTATGTCTTGCAGCGTGGATACATGCATCGCTAAGTGTTTTCAGAGTTTGGCGGATGTTTGGCTGGCAGTTATCCTCTTCATTAGACTGTGAGGATCGAGCTTGGATCAGCGTGTGCAGAAGAATCGGCCGACTGGCTAGCATTATACACTGTATTTGATTAGCTGATATTCTATTCTTGGCTAGGCTTCCCTGGCTAGGCTTCCCTGGCTAGGCTCTGAACCTACCTGGTTGAACTGAAGATGTAGAGATATGACATTCTTCGGAACGGGGCCGTCGCGGTTGAGCCGTATCTGCGGCGGAAGAGCACCGCACCACTCCTTGAGAGAGATGAGCAACTTTTGCTCCCGGTACAAGAAAGACTCTGGGAACTTCTTTCGGCTGTACACTTGGTCAATGACTTGACCTGTGATTTTGGCCAACTCAATACTAGCGACCAGGTACTCAGTGTCAGAGGTATGATCGTCGTGGATGTCTCCAGGTACATTGGATGGCATCTCAACGTAGATATCGGCGTCGGAAACTTGAATCGGCCAGCCGACTTTCGAGCCATACATTCGGTCAAATACATAGATTGCCCACCATAGTCTGGTCCGGTGTTGACGCTCCACGGGGTCTGGGCACTTGCATTCTGGGATATTGTGATTCAGCCCTACAGTCAAGCCTAGACGCATAGCGCTACCGACCAATAGAAATGCCGAATGGCGTCGGTTCAAGAAAAACGAATATAGTGACTGTAAATATGAGTAAATACGCCACGTCAGGTTAATTTCATAAGTATCCTACCAAAAGTAAAAGGGTTTCAATATGTGCCAAGCTTGGTCGTTCCGGCAAGATAGGTATCATCGTCATCGCATTGACATAATATGCCACGCCGGGGACGTTGCATTCCACGCTCGGATTTGATCGTGCCGAATATACTTCTCCCAGAGCAAAGAGAGCAAATAATTTACATGTCAATACGGGATCGTCGAAGTTAGCCTTGCGATAGACTTCCTCGAGCTGATCAATGGTCGACTTGCGAAGAACCAAATGGTACACCCGTGTCACCTGATTGAACACGATCTGAAGTAAAAGACGAGCCTGGGGTAGACTCGGCCATTCGATTGCGGGATTGCGCATTTTCATCAACGTAGTCTCTGTCGTGTATTGCGTTCGTGGCATGTGAGAAGTGGTCTCGCTCTTGGTAAGGACCATTCGAAGCCTGGTGGCGAATGCTGCGCATGCTGCTTCACAGACGTGGATAGGTGGTAATGAAGGGTCGTATGGTAGGAACCATGCCCGTTCACCAAGCATTGGATTCCGAACATGTGTACCTGAGTCTGGTTCGGGTACATCTAGAAAAGGGTATAAGTTACATATTCACCGGAAAGATAAAGGAACTTCAGACACCTTCATCGTGCGCTTGATGTTCTCTTGGTGTTGAAAATCTAGGTGATTGTGATAATTGGTCACGCAAGCGCTGGTTCTCTGCAGCCAAGTCTTCAAGATAACTGATCGAGTATTTAGCATTGCAATGGAGTAAGCCAAGCCTGGGAGCGCATACCTCTCGTGTACTTTTACTTGGCGATCTCGATTAACATAGTGGCATTCGGTAGGACAATCAGCCTGCCGACATTTAAGACATGGCTGACCCCCAGTGCACTTTATTTTATGTGTGTGACATCTCCGGCATCTTGAGATGTTAGCGGGTAGACTCGTGGAAGGGTTCCTGCACTTACGCGATGGATTTCTTTTTCTGTTTTCTGATTCCATCATTTAGGACCTTCGAGGACTTCATGTCTGAATTTAGATGCGATATCTAGTGGTAATATGTAATGGACTACTCGGTAGGAGGAATGAAATTGAGATTTCGTCGCATCGGCAAAATTTCATGTTGCCGAGCCAATCACCGTTTGAGATTCAACCTATACACATTTGTCTTTAAAAGGTGTGAACTATTTGATTCTAAGAAAAACAATCCAATAGGTATACTTCTGTGGTTACACAAGATATTAGTCGATCTAAAAATGTCATTCTACATAGTTGCCCATGATTGACCTATCCAAGTTGAAATATTGTAAATCTTGGATTAAGAAGGCGAATTCTTATGTGATTGTTTAGAATCTTGGAAGATCATTGATAGATCATGTGAAAATTGAAATTAATGCAAGGGGTAGTTATGTACATCGTACACCATACTGGGTACTCCGTGCATTCTCTCAACATTTGATATAACGTGACGTATGACAGGACGATCATCAAGCTGAGCTTTAAAATGAATAGCTGGTCTTCTTTACTGAGCTCTCAGTTATTCATACTATCAACCTCGAGCACGACATGGATATACTACGCGAGTCACCCCTAGGTCAACTTTTACGGGCAATTACAGGGAATAGGATTCTACTTTATCCGGAAGAAAAGCCAGGATTTGTTCCATCGAATTCAGAAGAGACAAGATACCAGATTGAACCTAAACAAAGTCTTGGAGGGGACTCTGCTATAATTCCAACTTCATATGCAGCACATGCGGAAAATGAGTATATAGTTGATTGGTACGGACCAGACGATCAATCAAACCCAAGAAACTGGTCATCAGGAAAGAAAAGATTTGTTACATTTCAGATATGGTACATATCACCTATCTTACCTTCATTCTCACTTAATGGGGTTGTCTAATTCTTCATAGTTTGTACACGTTCGCCATCTATTCTGGTTCATCAATCTACGTGCCAGCTGCACCGTAAGCTAGTCGATGACAAGTCTCTCACTATGGCAACTAATGACCCAACAGTCAAATCATAGAACACTTCCAAGTTAGTCAAACGAAGGCTTCATTGGGCTTGGCATTATATGTATTGGGCTGTATGTCTTGCTACATGTTGCACACGATAAATTCTGACGCGGTTCTATAGATGGTCTCGGTCCGTTGCTCTTCTCGCCCTTGAGTGAGGTTCCATTTTATGGTCGCAATATCCCATATATTACCTCCCTCGTCATCTTTGTCGCGCTATGTGTTCCCACCGCTTTGGTGGACAACTACACTGGATTTATGATTCTTCGATTGCTTCAGGGATTTTTCGGGAGTCCCTGTCTGGCAAGTGGTGGTGCCTCAATGGCAGATATGGTTCGTGCAATAATGTCTCTTAGTGGAAGGGGCTGCATTTCTTCTGCTAAAGCTAATCAATGTCGGATAACAGTACTCGGACATTTACCTACCGCTAGGATTGACCAGTTGGGTTGCTGCGGCGTATGGCGGACCAGCTTTTGGGCCGCTTTTGTCAGCCTATTCGATCGCTGCCAAGGGGTGAGTCGTTCAATCGATACCATCATGCTGGTGACTGATTATGATGTTAGGTGGCGGTGGGCGATGTGGGAAATTCTTTGGTTAAGTGCACCTATCCTTGTCCTTATGATCGTCTGTCTTCCAGAGACGTCGGCCGACAACATCCTCCTCCGCCGTGCACGACGACTACGCAGAGTTACTGGAAATTCGAATCTTATGTCGCGGTCCGAAATTGCGCAGAGTAGTCGGTCATTTAACAACATAGTCATTCATTCCCTGATCAAACCTGTCGAGATAATGATCAAAGACCCAGCCGTCCTATTCGCCAATATTTACACCTCCCTCGTCTATGGAATTTATTACTCCTTCTTTGAGGCGTTTCCATTGGTCTATCCAACTAAGTACGGGCTGGATACTCAGGATGTTGCGCTAATTTTCCTCTCAATTGTTATTGGCTGTGTGCTCGCAATGGTTGTGTATATTGTTTATCTTTATACCTATCTCATGCCTGATCTGAAGGCTAACGGCCATCGTGCATACGAGCAACGCCTAAGGCCTGCTCTGTTCGCTTCGTTCGGTCCACCGATTGGACTTCTTATTTTCGGTAAGCAGGTCAACGTATTTTATTTCACAGACCCGACACTAACTTTGATGTCATTTAGCCTGGACTACCAACGGCAGCATCCATTGGGCTGTGAGTGCCCTCGGTATTGTCATATATGCAGGATCTATCTTCATTATATTGCAATGCATAGCTGTCTACCAGCCTCTTGCATACCCCAAGTATGCAGCTTCACTGTTTGCGGGAAATGACACAGCACGCTCTGCTGCCGCGTTTGCGTTCATCCTATTCTCCCGATTTATGTTCATCGATCTTGGTATTGACAAAGGTGTGACTCTATTAGCCGGATTGAGTGTCATGGGGATTGTAAGTCCTTTCTAAATTCAACCTACGTTCCAATCCGAATATGATGGTGCATTCCCCCTACTAACTTATACCCAAGATCGGCATGTTTATTCTCTACTTCTACGGTGCAAACCTCCGTGCTAGATCTAGATTTGCAGAGCATGGCTGAACGAAGCGTGGTGATGACTTTCGGTTTTCCATTCAAAATGCTTCGGGATAGATTATGTGTACATCTAGAGGCTATAGGCGAAAAGGATTCCTTTTGCTGGGCAGTAATACGGTATCTACTGAACCTGTGCGTATATCTATATCTATAAACTCATGACATACGCAGTTGGCTATCTACGGCAAGAACACTCATCACTTCTTGTAACGAGGTGCAGTATGCAGTAGAAACCCCACTGTTACTCTGCCTGAATGAGTGACCTAGTACATGCAATCCCACTAACTACGAACTGCATGTACCTTGTCTACTGCATTGCTGCCCAATAAGCTTCAAGCAGCCTGAGAATTAGAGTGAGGCTTTTAACCCGCTCTAGTTCATCTCTCTCCACAGAGCAGTAGTAACCTCGAGAGACAATTATTGCGCTGATAGTCTACGTACAATGTACCCAAGGTTTACTCATTTTTTCATAACACCTGGGCAGATGTCAATAAAATCAGGTGTCAATACACATTAAAATATATAGTAAAATCACTTTGTCAATCTCAGCTTCAAGGATGATTTGCCTAGAATTTCTTGCATCCTCAAAGAAATTCTGTGTATGACTTGGCATCTCGTCTCAAGTTAAATCGAAAGACATGGGCATTTGAGAAAACGTATTGTCCAAGTCCGCTACCATATCATCCAGAGAAGGATTGTTCCACGTAGGTGAGTTTGAGGTTAAAGGATTGATGAAGGACTCGGGGGTGTGAAGATGTTCACTGTGGTCTTGGAATTCTAGTTCATCGTGTTGTTCCTTCCACCCGTCCAATCCGCAATCTTAAATCGAAGTCAGTTCTTGCGATGAACCTGAAAGGATTCTTCTTACCAGTGTCCATATTTGAGTCAATCGAATCACAGAGCTTGTGAAACTGGTTCGCCAACTGTGCTCGTGACTTCGTAACAAGTTCAACTGCTGCTGCTCCATGGGAACCAAGAACACAGTTCTTTTCTTTGCTCGCTCTGTCGCTACCCCAATCAAGACGACCTGTCAATGCCTGGCCTATGGCACTGGAGGAGTTACACCAACCTTCCTCGTTAAGGCCCAGTTTTGCCGCATGATCTTCGCCCCCTGTGCTTTCAGTATCTCGAAACTGCGGTTCTGGCTGCCAGGCCTTGTTGGAGTTATTTGTATCGTACCTCGCATTGAGACTTTCGCGGCTTGTAGATAATTTGTCGCCCAGTCCAATCTGTGACAGATTGAGAAAGTTTGAGGAGGAAAAGGTCGCTGGCCATCGGAGAATTTGCGGAAGACAGATAACTAAATCTCCTGGCTGTACCAGAATGTCCCGAGCTTCACCAAATACATTGTATCCTTTTCCATACTTCAACTCCAATGAGGTCTGTAGCCATGAGTTCAATTGGCGATGAAATCCTGGAACCAGTCGGATCTTTTGTGCAGTCTCACTGGTTGGGAAGACAACAGTACTCTGGATATCGCTTGTACCTTCTCCTTGGACCAGTGACTTGACACAGTCGATTGGGACACCGAATCCAACATCGTCACTTTGAAAAACCGCGGTTTGTTGATCTTGACCTGGGCGATGAATGAGTTTACAGTGTTGATCCGGTCTGCATGCGACCAGAACAGCATAATAGGCCGGATCCCGTTGTACCATTTGGGATAGCATCGTGTAGCACTGCTGGATCACGTTTCCACTGACTATCGAATTTCTATCCTCTTTCGCGCCACCTCTTTCAAAATAGCTTCGGATGCGTTTGAACACACCAAGCTCTTCCATGTAAGAAAAGAAGCCGGGAATATGAAGGAATCCATCCCTATGCCAACGCCACCATGCATCAGCAGACCCGGTATATCGACATAGGAGTTCTGTATTTGAACACAGGTTTGGAGGCGAAATGGAGGGATGACCACCTAGTAGTAACGGTTGGTTAGCAGATATTCAACAAAGATCTCAGTCGTAAAGTGGGAATTGTCGTACTCATAGAACTATAGCATTCACGCGAGCAGAACGTCTCCAAATTCTGAATTACATCAGCTCTAGTCTGATCACGCGGATCTTCTCCGGGAATAAACCGTGCAAGGCGCATCAGGTGATCAGAGCAAAAGCTACCCCATGACATTGTGTATGCCCAATCCACCAATGCCACTAGAAGCCTCTTATCGAAACTTGCTTGAGGAGCGGAGATTAGAGCTATTAGTGGCAAGCATATCGGAATACATCCACAGCACAGCCACTCATTCCGGTCTGTGTTGGTTTCTGACCCTTGTGTAGGCGAGACATCCAATGACAATACACCCTGAGGTAGTGTGTTTGGGGGTGACAATGCCTCTGATTGGATGCTGGTGGAAGATGAAAATGTAACCTCGGGGGAATTATCGTTGAGCTCCTTTTGAGCTGAGCTTGCGAGAGTTCGGGATTTTTTTGCTTGAAATACCGTCAGCCTTGGAGATTCAAAACTTGAGGACATGACGACTTACATCCTCGCGTTTCCAACCTTGCTTGGGGTATCCCCAAATTCTGTAATGCACGTTGAACATCACTTGCCATCAGTCGATTCTTATTACGTCCACGTTCTGGTCTGTTTTTCATGCTTTCTTCCAGGAGCACAAGTGATTCTGAGTGACTTCGATGTTTGCTCAAACAGGCTACCAGTGAGAGCAAATGTTTGCTCCACGTTAAGGGACGAGTATTTATCGGAAGAGCCTCATCGTATGGAACTTTCCAGTACCGAAAGATTGTCTGGATGCTTGACCGTTTCGCTAGCTCCGATTTCTTATGTCGCTGTACAATTGGTCGTACGGTTTCCGCATATCCGATGGCCCTCCGATACTCGCTGAGGCTCTCATACCTTATAGACCAAAGTTCATTCTGACATATCCATTGCCAAGCAGCACTGATAGATGACGCAACGCGTTCATCTATTTCGGAAACTCTTGTCAGAAGGTCAGTCAACACATCCAAGTGTTGATGCTCTGGTTTCCCATGCAAGAGAGTTGCGATAAATGCTTCAGAGGAGTATTCCATATCATTTGAGAGATTTATTGCCACATGATCCATGTTGAAATATTGGAGATCTCGATCTTCAAACGATCTAATGTTATCTTTGGTGATTCCTTTTGCTAGTTTTGTCTCTGACAATAATCTGACTGTATATATACCTAGAACTTCAACTTAATTTGGGGTATTACTTCTTTGCCCTAGTAGGCTCAGACTAGCTGGCTGCAGGGCTCTTCTTTTAGTTGCTACACGCGTCTCTGGTGGTGGTTGCCATTTATAGAAAGGTTCCATTGGATCCTGGTAATATATCCCGGACAGTGAGATTGGATCATTCACGAAGATGATGAGTTATGTTGATGAAAAACCTGAAATGATGTTTAACAAAACACCCTAGCAGAGACGCCTCACCGACACTTCATGCCCCACAGGAAGCATGTTCTGATGTTCTTGGGGCTAATATATCCCAGTCAACCACATGTTATCTTCTATACATGAACACTGGTAAACGGGAGCGGCGATTATAAGCCAAGAGATGGTCCACAGAATGGTTGCCTGTCATCTAGCGTTCCCGATGCGGGAGACCCAGAATCATGCATAAAGTCGCCTCCTGGGTGGATAGATCGACACTGGGGGCACAAGTTCGTGTGACCTAGTACATTAGACTTACCCATTGACTCTGGCGTGATGATTATAATTGTGTCAGACAATGGGCCCAGGCGGGAAGATGGTGGAGGATATTTAACCGGCGCTTTTTATAGTTTTCCCCTTATTCTTGCTTCACTTGGCTAAGATACTTCCGATCTGTATCTTATTATTATTCTATCTCATGATTCTCTTGGTTGTAGGTAAAGAAGGATTTATATGTTAGTCCTTAAAAATGCCAAGGTATTAATATGACCGCTTTAAGTCGGGAATTTTACCGTTGATATCCTTTTCTTGGCGAATTGTACGCTAAAAAAGAAAAACAAGAGACATGATTTATATTGTGTACGACATTGATGTCCCCAATCAGATGCATAGGGACCTTAGAGTATTACATAAAAATGCGGCTTGGGCTGCAACATATGGCCCGATATCCTTAGGGATTCTTGAATATCCTACCGAATTCCTCGAGGAAAGATTAATATCTATTTAGTATAGTTATATAGTCTACATTTTATCATAAAAAGATATACATGGATCGAATCATAACCAATTAAAACATGGCATGCAGTTATTATTGCTTCTGGTAATAGCAAAGATATCAATGACTCCCTTTGGCCTCCTGCTTTGTTCATCAACTATATCACAATCAAATGTAGTCTTATGGGCTTCTGCAAGGAGTGACGCAATAACTGCTAATCTACCACATCCATAAAAGGAAAGCTACTCGATGGAGGGGGGGGGGGGCTAGTTATCAAGGTAACACAACTTGGGTCATTTGGTCAGGCCTCCTTACAATGATATTATATTATTTTACTTAAACAACAGTGCACTGCAGGTCGTCATGATGAGTGAAGAATCAAGGTCTAAAATTCGTCACGATATATATGCTGCCCTTCATTGGTGGCATTTCCGGCCCTCGTTACTTGATGTGCATGTTGCACATATGCAAGCCCCAGCATCAATATTCTTATTTCAGTCTTTAAGGATATGCTTTTAAGGCTGGATATTGTATCTGCATAGTTCGTGTTCATAATTGATTGCTTTTTTCGTACAGGGTTGTATATTCATGGAGACCCGCAGAAACGCGTAAAAGGGAAAAAGGCTATCCTTGTGAGATCGGAACTTTCCTTTTTCGAATTTTGATCTCACATGTCGATTCGATAAAAGTCGAAGTAGAAAGTGATAGGGAAACGAGAGTCTGCCTACATGACAGAGTACATGCTGAGAAAAAAAGCCGAGCATTACTTCATTGATTCGGTATTGATTTCGGTAAAATTTCCTTTTGCCGCATCATTTGAATCCTTTTCTTCTAAGCTCGGGAAGACATGAGTTGGCCGATTATTCTACACAATGGTCTTGAGATTTCCTGCGGTTATTTCGCCATGGGGGAAAACAATCGAAATCCAATTGTCCGGAGGGGGGTTAATGTATCCGGCGTTGGAACATTTGAGGCCTTTTACATTCTCGGGAAAGTGATATTTTACCGACGGCTCTTCCAAAGAACCGAACACAATTCGTACTTAAAACAATGTATGCCGTTAAGAATTTAAGAGTTGAGCTGACCAGATATCAATTGATACAAATAAGCATGAAGTTCTCAAATGTGGACTTCGTTGTATATAGCTCTTCTGACTTGCCAATCTTCAAAACCCACGACATAATCAATGGCGAGATCTCTTTTACACCTCTCCAAGAAACCAACATTGAAGACATAAGCATCACATTCAAAGGTACGCGGGTGATAAGAAATAGCACGGCCATCTAGATATTGACACACGAACAGGCATGACACGAATCGAAGTCGAGAACATGAACACACATCTTCCTCTCCCTTCCAGTCGAATCCAGAAACCCTTCTTAAGTATGGATTTGCCGGTTTACGACTACTTCTGTGATACGAAAACCCTGAAACCTGGCAAGAGCTATCAAATACCCTTCAAGTTCATCGTGCCGGACGAACTTCCCATCCATGCCTGTCATCACCAATGCGCCAACCACCAAATCCAACGAGAACACCTGCAGCTACCTGCAAGTCTCAGTTACCGTGCTAGGAAATCCCATGAGATTCATGACATGTCACCAGAAATGACGGAAGTAGTCTACAGCATCAACTTTGCGCTATGGCAGCGAGATGGCAAGGCAGGGAGGCCGAAGAAAATCCAGGAATCAACACATCCCGTGCAAATCCTCCCAACACGAAAGGAGCATTCCCCCATCCTCGTCCCAGAAAAAAACAAGTTTTATCAGCTACGAACAGAAAAGCCATTATACACGGGGATGCTGCGGCATGCATGCGGCAAACTCGCTGCTTATTCTGCCCAACCACCAGCTATCCAGCTGCAAAGTCTTCAGACGACCAATGCGGACGCGTCAACTTCTCTGAAGATTAATCTTCACTTTGACCCTTCTTTTTTGGGTCAGCTGCCACCAAGTCTTCTTGCCGCCGAATTTCAGTTGCGGGCGATGACGTTCTTTGGGCTGGAGCCCTGGAAAAATTATCCAGATTTGACTGAGATTTCTACATGGGGTACACGACGAGAATTCTGGTCTGATTGTGTGGCATTGACGGCGAACAATGAAATACAAATGGACTGGAATTCTGAAGCAGAAGGGGAGCGCACGATCTTCACTGCATCGATTGAGACTTCAGTTTCGCTGCCTACCCATCGACACTATCCTCCCACTTTCCATTCGTGTTTATTGTCACGGGTTTATTCCCTGAAGGCAAGAATATTCTATCGAGTACATGGGAAGTCTCGGAGTAGATCATCTATATCGGTTACTGTTCCAGTGGAGATTTGTGTAATTTGACGAGATAAAGTGATAATAGAATCTTACAAGTTATGGCAATGGCGTTCAACTGCCATGCGCCGCAAAGCTTATAGATCAATAGTTCTCCACGCGATGTGGCTTCGGAAAGTGATCTCTCATACAAATCGTTCTTCAGCCTATACCAACGTTCTCTCCCATCAAGATCCAAGATTAATGCTGGAAAGCAAACGAAGGCCCACATTCCTGAACATTCATCTACCAATATTATTACTTCAATGCCAACAGTCAACCATTCGGTGGCGTATCTCCCATTCAGCATACCATGATCGACATGCCATCCACGAACTGGCATTTAACCACAACAATACCCAATACCAAAACCCCATTCCCGCCTGGCAGTATTACCCTGCCTTTACCTTATTGCCTATGACCTAGACTCAAGGATTCTTTACCTTAATTAGCAACTAGACAGGCTGCTGATCGTGGGTTTGTTGGTATTCCAGCCATCGGCGGAGTACATGTGTCAGGAGTCAGAATTCCACACGCGGCATTTCATCGCTAAGGCCCCTATGATTAGAGGATAAGTGTAGCTGACACCCCTAGCCCGTCTTCTCGAAATTTGTCTTTTTGTTGTTGTTAGCCGGCGAATTGCTGCCCATCTTCCACTCACCATTTGCAGCCAACGCATCGACATCGTGTCAAAATTTAATATTCCACTTCAATTTTGATCACTCGGCTTTCTGCCGCCTCATCCTCGTCCATTTGTGCTTGCTGTTCTTTCCGCCGGTCACTCGACCATCCCTTGATTCATTCAATCGACCACAACACAACAACCAACACTTCCGCCTCAAATCAATAACATTATGGCTCTTGTTCGAGACCCATATTTTTGGAAACGGTTCTCAACTGCGGTGCACATGGACGAGGAGTCTAAAGCAGCTGACCAGGGAACACAAACAAAAGAAGATGCGTAAGATACCCTTATCCCGTCTTTGTTGAACCTCAGCTCACCTCTCCAGAGCATCATGGCTTTCCCGCGAACGGCGAAAGAGCAAGCGTTCAGTTATATGGGGTTGTGTCATCTTCCTCATCGTGGTGTTGATCATCATTGTCAGCGTGGTTATATCATGGCTCGCTAAGAACAACTGGCTCCAACCTCGGTCGGATGCCGAGCAATAACTGGCTTTGTCTGGTGAAACCCGTTTTTGATTTGTATTTTGGCGTTCATCTGGAGTTTCATATGGGCACATTTATGCATTGGAGATATACCCGCCCCCTCTCCACATGGCGTTTGGCATTTTGCTTATATGACTTTTACATAGAACTGCATATATTAGACAATTTGAATCATTTATTTCTCTCTCTCTCTCTCTCTCTCTCTCGTCTATCTCGGTTATCTATGACTATACTCTTCGGCTAATCTAACAGCGCATAAACCTGCCGTAATAGGCATAGCTTATCTAACCGGTGGATTCTTATCTTCAACTGAAACTGCCACTGTTGATTCAATGTTTAGTGAACTTGAGCTTGTTCGCGATCTTGATTATTATGACAATCAATCAAAAGCAGACATTAGCTTAAATCCAGTGTTCACCTTGTAACAACAAAAACAAAAAGTCAGGGCAAAGGCTGTCAGGTGTTCCGGCTAACCTCGGTGTTACCCGATATCGCATTCTCCACTTCTCCAATTCCCCCGCATATAAGACCCCAACTTTTCCCCCTTCTCTTCTATTGTTATACACCAATACCGCCATCATGTTTCCTCCATTCGACTACTTTGCTTACCGTCGCATAAGGTAAGTCTATATTTTCTTATTAGATGAAGCTGGAGCTAATGTATACAGAAATCAAAAACAAAGCGAACGAGAACTCCGATTTACAGGTCTTCCACACCAATATCACCTCCACATTGTCGCTGCGGACCGGAAGATCATTGACCAACCCATCGAGGAGCTTGTTCATGATGTCCAGGACTCAGCTGTCTCTCCACTTGATATTCTCCGCACCTATGGAAAGGTAGCCAAAAGGGCTCAAGGGCGAACCAACTGCATTACCGAGGTGATGTTGCCCGAGGCCGAGTCGTGGCTGGAGTCAGAAATTAACCTGAAGGGTCCACTGGCTGGTATTCCGGTCTCTTTGAAGGATTCTATTCATGTCAAGGGATTTGATGCAACCGTTGGATATTCTGCTATGGCTGAGAATCCTATCTTGGAAGATGGGCCTATGGTGCAGCTCTTGAAAGATGCCGGTATGAGCATGATTATTTTGACGCATTCTGTCATTCCTGAATTGTATGCTAATTTTTGCAGGCGCTGTCCCATATGTGAAGACTGCCCTACCAATTACGCTGCTTTCTTTTGAGTCAGCTAACGGGCTCTGGGGTCAATGCCGCAACCCACATGTCCCCGCATACTCGCCCGGCGGCTCAACCGGTGGAGAGGCAGCATTGTTGGCTCAGGGTGGCCGTATCGGTATTGGATCCGATGTTGCTGGATCGGTTCGTGTGCCCGCCGCGTGGAGCGGTATCTATTCACTACGCTGCAGCACTGGTCGCTGGCCCAAGGGCGGCGTGAGCACCAGCATGCCCGGCCAAGAGGGTGTTCCTAGTGTGTTCAGCCCTATGGCCCGCACCTTGGATGATTTGACGTATTTTACTCGTGCAATTATCCGCATGGAGCCCTGGAAATACGAGCATACTGTGCACCCGATTGCCTGGCGCAGCGAGATCGAGTCCGAGGCTCAAAATAAGCCTCTTCGCATCGGTCTGATGACCTCGGATGGTATGTATCAACCGCTTCACCCTGACAATGAACATCAGCCACTTACAAGTTACCAGGCGTTGTCCCTCCAACCCCGGCCATTGAGCGTGTCATTGCAACCACAGTGGCGGCCCTCACCGAATCTGGCCACACCGTCTCAGAAATTACCACTCCACCCAATGCAGACCCCTTCACAGGCCTGAACCTGGCCTCGCAACTCCTCAACGCCGATGGTTGCCACCACTTCAACGCCAAGCTCAAGAGCTTCGAACCCTCCGACCCAGGCGCCATCCAACTCTCGAGCATCGCTCACCTCCCCCGCCCGCTCCGCTACCTCTACTATCTTTACGTGCGCTACATCCGCCGCGACAAGGTCTCGGCCACTCTTATCCGCGATTTTGGCCCCAAGTCTTCCGCCCAGTTGTGGACCCTGACCGCCCAGCGTGAAGCCTTCCGCGCGGCGTGGCACAAGTGGTGGGACGCCGAGCCCCAGCAATTCGATTTCATTCTGTGCCCTGTCAACGCTACCCCGGCTCTCCCTCATAATGCCATGCACGATGCCGTGTCCTCGTGCGGTTACACCTTCCTGTGGAACTTGCTCGATTACTCTGCAGGTGTTATCCCGGTCGGCCACGTAGACCCTATCCGCGATGCCCTTACGGCACCCTATAAAACTGCCCTCAAACGTCTAGGCTGTGACCACGGCATTGCTCGTGGTGCGTGGAAACACTACGACTCGGCCAAGATGGCCGGCCTTCCCACCGCCGTGCAGATTGTGGGTCGCCGCTGGCAGGAGGAACATGTCCTTGGCTACATGGCTGCTGTGGAGAAGGCACTGGAACAGTACCATGATCCGCAGACCGGTGAAAGCTGCCGATATACACTACTGGAAATTGATTAAGTCGTTTATGGCGTGCAATGTGTTGATTTGATGGGTAGTTCTTCCGAACTAGGTAGTATCGCATAGTGTGCCCCCTCGATTATTTGTACATGCATATAGTCATGTAGCTAAATCGTTTCTGGTATAGCTGGATCTGCATATTATTCGTACCTTTGAGACAATGAAATAGTTCTAGTCTCTTTTCCTGCAGTAACTAGTCCGGATACATGCAGTGTAACGGTGTGTGTGTGGAGATCGTAGGAATTATTGTCCTGCACAGGAGATTGCCAGTTTTATATCCTTCTATTTATTTCCCCATCATTTTTCATACATTTTAAATGTTACTCGTAATGTATTTTGCAATCAGAAATGAAAAAGAAACAAAAAAGAAACAAAAACAGACTTCTTCAATGCAGACCTAGGCTGTCAGAAAGCGCCCTAACCGGCCCCCTGTACATATCATATGTATCTAACATGTCAGACTTGAAAGGTGGCTAATCATATGTGCATTGTCTAGACCCATTAACCTCCAATCTTGCTATTCGTCAATTTTGTTCTCCCGATCTCCGGTCAGAAGGGATATTTGGAGCTGTATATTTCCCAAGTGGAGGTAATCGGGATTTGATTCAAGTGATCAGATCCCGAGCACAATTCTACTCTTTTAGATGTACAACAGGAAAATATACGGAGTAGAAGAAGCAATATTATGCATTACGAAGTATAGATTAATGGAGGGTTCGGCCGAAAGACGGGCTTAATGTCCCTTGTAGGCAACTTGCAGATCACTGAGCCCAGATCTCATTAAGAGATAATATAATAAGGTGAAAACAAAGGGGGTGAGGTTAATTGCAGATAATGCAAATGCAAGTCTATAGCATACATAGTATATTTCCTAGCAATATACGGAGTACAACATACGGAGTGGACTCGAGATAATGTGATCGACAGGGTTCCACTAAGAGCCACTTAATCTCTTTTAGTACAATATAGTTAGATCTAGAATAGATTAAATCCTTTGGATGTTATATACAACATAAGTAGTATATATAACTTATTCAAGTAGAATTGAACAGTATATAATGATCATTCTATTTCTACTGTTGTAGATACTACCGGGATTTCCGGGGAAGGGGACTCTGGCCCATAGTAGAATTAGGAGAAATATATACTACGGTTATGCGACTTTATATTTCAAGTGCTTTTCCATTTAAGAATGTAATATATAAATTTGAGAGAACTATTGGCAACTAATGCAAGAGAAATATAATACAAGAATAAAATAAAAAAAGAATAAAAAGGAGTATAAAAAAAAAGTACGTGAATTGATCTGCGGTCACGGGGTCTAGATTCTTATTTCCTCTTTGCCCTTTCTCCTCCCCTCACTCTTCCTTCAGAGCTGTCAGAAAAGAAAAAAAAAAATCTAAGAACATTATGAAATGAAGCTTTTCTATCATTCAATACTTTTGTTAAAACTCTATTCAATCTCTTGAATATCATGCATCTAGTTATCACATACATCTCTCACCGCTTACCCGGTGATATCATCTGAAAATGGCATCAAGAAAGAAACAACCTAAGAAAAATGATGACATTCATTTTGTCAATGCCAGACCTACCTCAGAGACAGAACGATTGAAAGCTCAACGTCTGGTGCGTGCACATGTCGGGCGCTGGATTTCAGATCAAACAAAGGACCGATCCGCAGGCCCATCCACACGTGCTCGACCTGTCCGCAATCCAGTTCCTCCCGTACCTATTGACCGTCCTGGCCCCTCTTATACCATCGTCTCACGACCTTCAAGCTCCCATCGAAGTATTCCCGGTCAGGTTACATTCCGCGACTCACCATTTCCGCCCTCCCATGCTAGTGATAGTAGCGACAGTAGCAGCGATGATGCGAGTTCAGTGACTGCATTTTCAGCAGAGGCGCTTGCTGTCGCCCGATTCAATAAGCGCAACTCTCCTGAGCGACTCGAACGCAACCTCTCTGGGATCTTCGACCCATTCGCCACATACCCCGCTCCCGAGAACTTTGAACCCGAGATGATCAATTTGTCAGAGCGCTATCTCACAGGTGTTGTGTGGCCAGGACTCGCTCCACGACCACGGAATGTACAAACTGCGGCTAATAAGTGGTTCGATCTGTCCATGGCGGACCCGGCTTTGTTTACGGCGTTCATGTTTGGCTCCCTATGTCACCTCCGTGTACAATGGCAGAATAACTGGGTACCTGGTACCGTATTTGGTCCAAAGGAACGTCGCGCACTACAGTTATGTGAAATGGAATCGATCAAGTTGATCAACCAGGCTGTTCGTGACCCCCATCGCGCCGTCAGCGATGCGGTTCTCCTCAGTGTTATTTGCATGGCTCATCACCAGGCGGAGGAGAAATTGGTACAGCGGCACCGAAGAACACCATTTAACCCGCCATTCCCGCGACTGCAATGGATTGATGTCTATGGATGTCTGCCACCGAATATGATTCATATCAAAGGGTTGTTACAGTTGGTCAAACTGCGAGGCGGTCTAGCCAATATCCCCACGGACGGTCTCGCCGCGACCATCTCCTTGTATGTGTTTTTTTTTGCTTCATATTAACTGCCCCGTACTAACTAACTACCCACAGTTCGGATATTATGAGCTGCAGCGTCCTCTGTGTCCACCCATGCTTTGAATTCTGGCCTCTCGCCGATTTCCGATTAGGCTTGTCTATCCAAGAACTACTCGGCTTCGGTCCATTGGATATCGAGCAGGGATTCGGCCGTTTACAGGAAATTGGCGCCACTCCCCAAATGGCAGAAGCTTTCCAAGCGGTGCATACTTATATTCAGATCATCAAAGCGAGTCCGAATTCCACACATGATGTGTCTTTGCTCGCCGATCGGCGCAACCTAACCCAACACACCATCCTATGTCTCTCTCCGGCCTCCGACATCCACACCTTCTCCAATCCCACGCATGCCGCCACCTATGAAGTATGTCGCCTAGCCGCACTAATCTTCGGGGTCGGCGTCCTCTTCCCAATCCCCGCACAGAATACCCCTCTCAACCGTTTAGCGCACCTTATGAAATCGCTCCTCTTGCAACCTTCCTCCTCCGAACTGTGGTCTTCGCCATCAACCCGTCTCCCTCTTATATGGGTGTTAGCCCTCGGCGGTATCGCCGCGAACGATACCCCCGAGCGCGCCTGGTTCGCCTCTGCCCTTGGAGATATAGCCCGCAGAACTGGTTTGAATTCATGGGCCAGCATTAAATCCATCCTCGGGTCTATGTTATGGTACGACGCTGCCTGCGATCTTGCTGCAGAGACTCTCTGGCAGGAGAATACTAGCAAGTATAACTATGTCATTGAGTGAGCCCAATCCCAGCATTGGGAAATTCTCCGAACCTTGAGAACCTGAACCGTGAACCCGCTTCCTCTCTGGATCTGCCGTCAGCTGCAATGACACAGTCCACCTCCCCTACCTCTTCTTTTCCGCCCCTCCCTACCATTGTTTCTCCCGTCTCTTTTTCATCGTCATCATGTTTTCTTTGAAATGGGTATATGGAAAAAGCATTTGGTGTTGTTTCCACATACCATCACCGGCGATATGCTCAAACTTGGAAATGGGGTATACATAGATATAACCGGTGCTTTTGACCGTGGATATCAGTTTTGCATAAATCTACCGTGCTGTGAAACCCGAACACTGTCACCGTTACCCCCGGGCCCCGGGGTAGTTCTATTTTCTTCCTTTTCTGGATTGCACATGATATATGGATCTGATTGAGGTCTGGGCTTGGATTATAATATCCGACATTGACTGTGGCTTTCTCACGCCCTGTTGTCGCCTTTGGATGTTTGAGATACATCCGTATATAATGCAGCTCTGTTGGATCAGAACCATTAGGCACATAATACATAACATAATGGTTCTGCATTTGTGCAGAGTAAAGATGTGGGTTATTCTAGTCTTCCTGTTATGTTATTGCCATTGGTCACATCTCCTATACTTGGTACATATATGTAACATCCTCATATCCAATAGCATTCACATTCATGTTGCGTATATATTCAATGCAAACCCATAAGCTAAAGATACTCCCTGCGTCATATAAAACACACCTCAAGCCCCATACCCTCTCCCAGGTACTTCATTCCTCAACAATGGCTCTCTCTCCCTAATATCCTGACACTGATCACCTATTAACCCCCTCCTCCCCTCCAAAAGACCCGTCTGATACGCGACAAACCCAACAAGTCCACTTCCAACCCCAGCAACCAACACCGTAAGCCCAACGTTAACAGGCACAGGATCCCCCCTCCAAACCTTCAAGGTAAGCGCATCAAGCCCCGCCTGCGCGAAATTTCCAACACCAGCAACACAAATAATAAGCCCATACACCTTCCCAAACGTCGCAAATCCAAACACCTTAGCCGCGTAGTCTGATACAGCGGTGTAATAGAACGGTCGGTACAGCACGAAGAGAATGATATTCCCATACGCGGCTGTTGGATGTGGTATACACCCCAACACGCCGATGACAGTTGCCGACATGACGAGGATGAATAATACAGTGCGCGTTTGGAATATGTCTAGGAATGTACCGATAAACGGGACGGAAATAAGTCCGCCGACCGGGAGGAGGATGTCGAATGTTGTGTTTATTTGGGCGGCTGTCTTTGCAGATAAGAGGTAGGTGTATTGTGAGCGCAGTGTGGCTACAAAATAATTTATTCGTAACATCATTAGAACGGTGAAGGCTGTTATTAGGCCGAACCATGGTGTGCGTAGTTGATACAGTGCGCTGTGGCCGTGGAGAACGCCCCAGATGCCGCCTCGTGCGGGGATGGGGTTTGGTTGTTGCGTGTGGGAGTGCGGTGTTGTAGTGTCGTGGGTTCCTCTGGTGGGGGTGTTTATGTTGGGCTCAGTGTCGATATTGGCGTGGAAGACGGAGTCATTGATAGTGTTGCCGGATATCACCGATGCTGTGCCGTCATCTAGGAGATCTTGGATGTGGTTGACGATGCTTTGGCGACGGAGTTTTCTGTGCATACGCTGACGCTCGCCTTCGCTGCGGTCAGTGACAGCGTCGTCTATGCGATCGTGCATCTCATCTTCAACCTGCGCTTCGGCTTGTTGCACGAGCTCGCCGGCAGTTTTGTAGGATGTTGGGGGCATTACGAATATCTGTGCTGCGATGATGAAGACCGGTACGATGAGGTACGCTGCGAAGAAATTGCTGATTGATACGAGGCCCTCCGTATGTTCGCTTAACAGCCTGAAAAGCAGGAATAGGGCACTCGAGGCATCGAAGGCGCCTGTCAGCATTGATAAGATCAGACCTGATCGTGTAGGGAAGGTGTTTGATAGATGGAAGGACGGTATGAATACAAATGGTCCTCCCAGTGCTAGGAATAAGTAGCCTGGGATGTATCCATCGAATGGTAGCTTGTTGGCTGTCCCGAAGAGTACTGCTCCAATTGCGAGACAGATACTGCCGATGATTCCACTAACTCGTGGTCCATACGCGTCTAGGATTGTTCCTACAGGTAGGGCTGACACATTGGTTACTACAGCGGCGATGGTGAACATCAGGTTTAGCCTGTTACATGTAAGTATGAGAGATTGTGAACTAGGATAAAAAAAACATACCGAATCTCCTGCCCATAGCAGACATCAACATCCTCTTCAAGCTCCGCCTGGGAGCAGAGGTTGCGATATACTTTCTCTCGAACAAGGACAGGCTTGAGAGCTGCAAAGCCGAAAACAACACCAGCGGCTAGAAAGCAGTATACAACTGCCGTGCAAACCTGGGCTTCTACAAGTCAGCATACCCCTGTATATCAAAAGTATAATTGGAGTTCCATTAACCTACCAATCCTCCTAGCAGCGCTAACTTCATAGGCACCAGTAGTATCGGCCCAAGGTGTCCGAGCAACGGCTGTCCCTGAATCCTGCACAGTCCCCTCGGATCCCCCTTGGGCTGAAATCGAACCCGAACGTTCACGAGTAGTCGTCGGAGATAGGCCGAGAAATGAGGGACCAAAAAACGAGGATCGATCGTCATGTGGATCCTCTGGGTTCTCATTCCAGCCTGGCCCCGCATATGGGTTAAAATTCAGCCTGCTGTATGTGGAGGGAAATGAGGATGACACGGATCCCTCGGGTAAATCTTGGTAGGAGTCCGGATCCGAATCTGATTCTGGGTGATTGAGAAGTGCTGCGGGGTTACGCTCCCATCCTTCAAGGAAGGAGATGCGATTTAGGGACATTGCTATGGCATTATTTGGAGACTAGGCTGAGTTTCACAATAGTAGAGCTGTGTAGCTTGAAGCTCTCCAGGAGCTTAGGTTGTAGGAGCTTTTAAGATAAGAAACTTGGAAGTTGGCATTCTGCATGGATGCCTTATATTCAAGGTTTATGATTACCTTGATTTTCAGGCATTCATATCACCTCGTTTCTTCTCTCTTGACTCTTTTCTCTTCTCTCATCTACCGAGGTCTTCTTTCTCTTCTCTCCACAAGTTCTTTTCTTAACCATGGATTGACCCTTTCTTAGTTGATGAAGTAATGATTATTAATTCAAGTGGTTTTTTTTTTTTTTCTCATTCCCCGGGCCATACAGCCAAAACAGGCAGCTGATAACGAAAAGTCCCACATATCAAGATGATGCACTCTTTGATTTGAATATGCCGAATTTAACTTTATTCGGGACTCTCAAATCACATCTTCGGCATCATATACTCGGTGAACTTCCTAGATCGACAGGGTTTCACAGGGTTTGACCGGCTTGACCGGGTTTGACCGGGTCCGGAGTACTTTTCCAATAGGTTTTGATACCCAAATCTCACCCGGTCAAAGCTGATCCACCAAGTAGGGTTTGTTGGCATTTGCCGGTCCAATTGTGTTCAAATATAAGGAAGTGCCTATGAAAGATCTAAGTTTGATGTTCGGCAGACTTTCTGGGGGGAGGAACAACCGTCGGTTCCTGAACCACCGGTGAGACCAATCGGCAAATCAATAGGGAAATCTTCGAACTTCTAATTTCATTCCATTGAAGCTTGTCCTCGTACTTTTTTTTAAACGCTGACAAACCGGAAATGGATTACCAATTTATGCCAATCCTCCGGGTTTGGATGGAGACCATCCCGTTCTCATTTTCATGTCATTGGCTAATATTTTGGGCAGTCTCCTTTTTTATAATCCACTTTACAATGAGATATTGAAGACTACGGCAAAAAAGGAAAAAGGGGGGCTCGGCCACATCAGACAATAAACTCACTTGGCATATATTCTTACTCTAATGCCGAAAACCCCGAAACATGACATGTCCCAACATATTTCGGGCCAACCATCAAAGCCTTTCAATTGGGGGATAGACAAACTTAGTCGCATACGTGGGGGAGTTGACCATCCAACCAGGACCAGCAAATGTCTGCCTAGACCTTTGGCGTGGAGATTGTTGAACCTGGCGAGTTCCGGATACTTAACGTGCCCTTTACAGATTATCCCCAGTTTTGAGCCAGTGTGAGTTAATTTCCTTTTGACTGTTAGCTCTTTCGAACTAATCTCCAACTCGTAGTTGTTGGATATACCCCAAATAAAATATACGCAATTAGTTTATCTGCCAATTATTCTGTACAGCCCCCCACTCATCTCCGCTTATGTATGTGTGTTTCTCCAATGAACATGAACGTGAATGAGTTTGATAGGTTTAGGGAGATTTGCCCTACATATCTAAATAACCAAATACCCTCGGGCCTGGCATTCCATGCTTTCTGGAAGCCTTCCTTGTTTGCCGGACTTTTGACTGCGTAATGAGGGGATGGTCAGTTTCTTTTTGATTCGTTAATTCATCAACTAATACCTTTTTTTAGCCTCACATGTCGTCTGCGCCATCTCAAATGTAAGGATTTTGTCTAGCCCTAGTCCCCGAGGTCCGATACTAACAGAAATAGGTGACAAATCCGGCTCAAAATGTATTCGTTGCCAACGCTCTGGTCGCGAATGTGTGCCGGCCCCCGGCAAATCTGAAGAAGTCTCTTTCCGCCACGGCCAGAATCCATCCTTGCGAGGAAAGGGGCCTCCGAGATATGGCGAGAGTGATCTTGCTTTTCCGGATGACCAGGTTTGGGTCGAGACCTCTTCCGATTGTACGTGGAATTGTCTTCATATGTATTTCCTATACTAATTTCTTGTAGATGACTTCAAGGATGAAACAGCTCAGACGGCAGCTGAATACTATGTTGTGCCTGTGAGGCAGGTATCAGCTTCAACCTCTGAACGTTCAACACCTTCTACAATGGAATCTTTGAACCTCACTGCTTACGCAGGATCTCAATTGGGCTCTAGATCGAATTCTGTGAATTCTCCACGTGCACCTACCACGCTCATTGGCCAACCGAGGCTATCCAACCTGACCGAAGCCTTTCTTTTGCGCCATTTTCAAAAGTACCTTGCCCCCTGGGTAAGTTTAGTCTTTTATCAAATTCTACCCCTTTAAGTCTAACAGCTTAGCTTGATGCATTCAACCCTGAACGACACTTCTCGACAGATGTCATCGAACGTGCCACTCAATCTCCATTACTACTATATGCATGTCTAGCAGTCTCAGCATGTCACCTATCCCGAACAACAAACTCCATCGCCGGCGATGTCGCACACGGATACCATGAACGCTGTATTTCAATCATGCTCCCGGTTCTCGACAAACCCGAGTTTGAAATCGGAATCGAAATCCTTCTCTCATCAACAGTTATTCTACGATTTTTCGAATCAATCTCCTGTGCGTGCACCAATTCATTATTTTCAACACAAAACGATTCCCAACTAATGCACCCAACAGCCCATAGTCCCCCCAACGACCAACAACACCATCTCCTGGCCGGTTCGGTATATGTCAGCTCCCATGTGGACTCTGCTATCGCGGGCGGACTAGCATCGGCTTCGTTTTGGGCCTATGTCATTCAAGACATTCAGTTCGCCCTTACCTACCAGAAATGCCTTCGACTATCATTTGCGCCATTCGATGACCGACTACGACGCTGGTGGGTTACCAAGCCAGTCTTGAGTGACGGCGACTGGACGAACCGGGCTATATGGCTGCTGGCCGAGACTATCGATTTCTGCTATAATATCTCAGGCCGAACCCATGATAGTAGACTCGGGAGCGCGGGTGAGGCTGCGCTCAGGCATCGCATTCTGGAGTGGGAGCTTGGTCGACCTGATACGTTTGTGCCATTGCATATTTCGCCGCCGGATCCTGGGAGTGGGAAGCCTTTTCCTGTTGCTTGGTATACGAGTTTGTGGCATGGTATGTGATATACTCCCGCGTTGAGGGTGATATACTGATCTTTGGAGCTAGCAACTGCAATTCAGCACATTTGTCTCACTAAAGCGCTAATGCTCATTCGCGAACTCGAGTTTTATGATCGCAGCATGTTGCATTTAGAGCAGCCTGTCAAATTAAGGGTTCGTCGGTTTTTCTCCGTACCCAGTTCGCTGCTGACCCCGACAGAGTGACCTAGCTAGAACGCTTAACTTCATGTTTGGCATCGCCATATCTGCCGACGATGATCCTTCACTGCGTATCACGGCTTGCCATGCACTTTTTGCTTGTAGGTTCGAATTTCATCTGATAATTGGGAAGATACTAATATAAACATAGGTGGCTCATGGGTGGAAGACCCTGTTGTCCAGAATTTGCTGATTGATCTCCTTCGCCGAACGGAAAGGGAGAATGGCTGGCCATGGGGATATGTACACAACCAAGTTGTACAAGCATGGAGGACGATGTAGTTATAAGTTATATACCCAAGTTTGCATTTATAGACTTAAAATTGCCTATGGGCGCCGAGGTCTTCTTATATTTGTTTCATTCAAAAGCTATAATTGGAGATACATTAGTCTATTTCCTTTATCTGGTGGTTTCATAACCGGTTGCGAATACTTTGATACAACCAGTCTCTCCACTCCTGATCATTCAAGATCGACCTTACACGAGCCTCAAGCCACTCTGTATTCCCCCAAAAGCCCCACGAAGCCTGAAATCTACACCAGTCAACCAAAGCTGTCTCCCAATGTCGTTTAAACGTTTCCCAATCGTACAGCTGCGAGTCCCCATCCAGGGTTTTGCGGTACCGCTCTAACAGTCCCTTCTCACCATCACACATTGACAGCTGCTCAGGTAAACTCCCATTGCCATCAACCAGCATATGCAAAGGAACAGAGCAGGTAAACAATTTGGCAAGGTCACAAACTCCCAAACCGAGCCCGACATACTGGAAATCAAAGAACGCCACCTTCTCTCCATTAGTCGTCGTAAAGAGATTCTCCGACTTGACATCGCCATGGATATATGATTCAACCGCCCTTCCACAGGGCGTTAAAAACAACGCAACCATCTCCGCCACGGATAGTGAGCATGCTCCCGACACCTCACACAGGACGTCAGACCACTCCGAATCCGTATCCTGCGCAAGCGATGCGTACTCTTTACGTCGCGTGGCAAGATACGTATATCCCCCATTCAGCCATAGTCCGCGACCACCCTTGCCTGAACTCTGTCTTCTACTACTTTCTTCAAGAGGCGGCAGGACATATTCTTCAAAATTGGGTGGCAGCAGACTCCGTGAGCGGCTATGGAAGCCAGCTAGCCAATCTAGCGTGGCGCTCACTTGCGTGCGATTCAAAGCACCCCTCTTCTCGCCCGCAACGGGGAATTTAGGACGCAGATCAACCATGATCGTAGCCATGAGACCTGTGAGTTCCGATGAGCCTTTTGCATTGTTCATGTCGCGCGTTGAAGCTAGACAGTTGGCTATGCCTATGTCGGATCCCAGCTGGGGAACTACTTCACTATAGAAGTACTGCTCTACCTCGTAGCTTAGCATCTTTCGTAGGTGGCCTTCATCTGTAGTGGCACTTTTTCGGGGTGAGATGAGCTTCAGTATGAGAGGGTATGTTGACCCCGCGCTACCTGGTTCGACCCCGCATAACTTGCTGAGATGTTCGGCTGCTTGGTTGGTGGTTGCTCGCGCTGTAATTGCACATATTTGGCCGTAACCTGCCCATAGGGTCTGTAGATTGGTGCATGAGATGAGGTCAAGCGAGTGCCATGAGAGCATAATACTCGCGACGCGGTTGGGGTCAGGCGTCATTTTGAGATTAAACGGTGAGATTTGTGTTAGGAGATGTATAGTGGATCGAAGATATGTACGGAACTACGGAGAATCCCATTCTCCGAGATGTGAATTTCCATGTTCGATAATGTTCACGATATATGTGTATCTACATATGTTTGTAGGTAGAATAGTAGACTGTATTTTTTGTCTTCCATAGGCCAAAAAAAAGAGGAAGGCAGTAGGGAATATTTCCACTTTAGGAAGGTACGTGGGGGTATATACCCCCCCCTCAATTCTCAATTCTTCCTTCCTCTTCACTTCGCCAGATCTTCTACATTGATTCAACTCTACGTATCTCCAATTTATCCATAAATCATACATCATATACAGAATACTTTCCATGTATAATAGATTAGAAATCAGAATGCAAGATAACGTGTGATTGTGGCTGAGGAGTCTTGGTATGGAGTTAAGGACACCATCGGAGATGCTGACAGCGGAGATATTCTAGTGAGACATCCATAAATTGACCAGTTAACCGGCAGATCGACATAAATAGGATCTTAGCCTGACGTTTAAAACCCTAACTCGATGGCTGAAGGCAGCAGCATTTAGTTTTCATATGCAAGTTACCAATGTATGCAGGTTTGAACTACACAGGTTCTTGTTCTAGACACGCGTTTAACAATCATCTATTCGCTTTTCCATACTTGGCAAAAGTCTTTTGTTAGTTCTGGGGGCTTAGACAGACTCACCCAAATCCCTGTCGATTGACATGCCAGTATCCATGGATCTTTGCTTACATCTTGGCTCCAGAGACGAGATGAGACATCTGGCGGGGGAGATATGAGAATGTTAAGTCTATATAATGCTGCACATTGCTTGCTTATGGGGCATAACATTTTGAAAGAAAAGCATCATATCTGGAATGAAGACGCCGAGCTTGTCCTTTACTATTCTAGCGTTGCTTGCTTCAATTGTGACATTGGTTGTTGGATGTAAGTATACAATGTGTCTCTGTCTCAGCTCAACATATACCTGACAGATTTATCTAGTTGATCCGGGGTCATTTCGTCTTATCGATCCAATATTCTCCCCATTGAATACAACCAAGAAGTTCACTATCACCGCTGGGATCGAGACATACTATCACACCATCAACTTTATATTAGAAAACAACGATGATCTCGTATCACCAGACGTACAAATCCGGTATCCCGATGTCCACCAACATGCCAATGGTGCAGTTGCCCTGCCAAATACCCCAGTTCGGTTTACAAAAGGGTCAGTCTGGATACAAGAAACTCCTAAGGGGAATCGAGAAAATGTCGGATGGGCAAGACTTGCCGTGATCCAGGATGGAGAAAGCCTGCTCTTCGATGGAGCATTCACAATGATGGGTTTGCAGTATGCCATTGTCCTCGAGACCCTCGATGATGGGTCTACTGAGATAATAGCCCGCCAACACGAATCCGCATTCTCAGGCAGATCGTTATCCCCCTCGCTATGCGCAACTGCCCCCGAAACACACTTGGATAAGCGACAGATTTGGAATGCCTGGAACGAGAATCTCGCATCAACAATCGGCAATACATACGGTTGTCCGAACACGAGAGAGATTGCGTATATCGGTATAATCACGGATTGTACTTATACTGCAAGTTTCAACTCCTCCGACTCTGCCCATCGATATATCCTGAATATGGTCAATACAGCATCCGTGGTCTTTGAGAATAGTTTTAATATCTCTCTTGCCATACAGAATCTAACGATTAGTGACGCTGAATGTCCAAGCAGTACCTCGGGCAGGACTGCGTGGAATGTCCCATGCTCTCAGGGAGATCTCAACACACGTCTTCAGACCTTTTCGTCGTGGCGAAGCTCTGTGAATGACCGGAATGCATATTGGACCCTATTGACTGGGTGCTCGGTTTCTGCTGGGGAAATCGGGGTATCGTGGATTGGAGCACTATGCAATACAGGATCTGGCTCTAGAAATGGTGGCGCCAGTGCTAATGTCGTCGCACGAACACAGAATGAGTGGCAGGTCTTTGCGTAAGTCATTGCAACATATAAGCAACAAGGTGATACCTTTCGCTAACATAGAAAGCCACGAGTCGGCCCATACATTCGGAGCAGTTCACGACTGCACTTCAAGTACATGTGGAAGTGCCTCGACACAATGCTGTCCATCCTCATCAAATACCTGTGATGCCGGTGGACAGTATCTTATGAACCCAGTATCCAGATCTGATATGACACGCTTTTCACCCTGCACGATTGGGAATGTCTGTTCGCGGCTTGGCTCTGGGAGGGTTGACGGGAGCTGCTTGGTGGAGTCTCGGGGCAATGCCACTGGTAATATCGGACAGTGCGGGAATGGCATCGTTGAACCTGGCGAGGCATGTGACTGTGGAAATGGTGCCTGCAATGAGAGAGAGACTCGGTGTTGCGACTCTGTGACATGTCAGCGAGGAGGGGATGGATGTGATCTAACAGATGACAATTCTGGAACTGGTAACACTGACAACACAGGACGTACTGGAAGTACTGGGCAAGGAACTAGGGGAGGTGATTCAAGTGATGTATCATCTTGGGTTCAGGATCATCTTTCGTTGGTTATTGGACTTGCTGCTGGTATTGGAGGAGCCTTGCTACTGCTCATCTTTGGATTCTTGGTTTATTGCTGCAGACGCCCCAAAGCACAAGTGGTGAAGGCAAAGCCTGATATTCCACCACCTCACTATCAATAAAAATGAGTCTTTCTGTTTCACCTGGGTAGTCACCGTCGAACGTCGAATGTTTATAGGGACTACTCGGTCCCAGAGTGACAACCTGACGAAATGACACGATGCAGTGACTCTATTTTCAAATATGATTCATCTTGCGAAGTAGGTAAAATTGATATACATTTGAAACAGCAACGGGTATAATAGAGCAACCAAAGAGATACAGAACACCCTCACTAAGCCACAAGATTAAAACAGCCCAAAATTCCCATCAAAGGGGAATGTAAACAGCCCCTCATCCATCATCCCTAAGTTAAGCCAAGATTCACCAGAATTGGGGTCTATACCAACCTCAGGTGCCATTCCCATCGGAGGAGCAAGCTGCATCCCGGTCACAGTAGACATGTCCTGGTATCCCTGAGCCTGAGTAGCACTCGGTAGATCGGGGTAGTTATGTGTAAGTTCGGCAGGTGAATATGGTTGATAGTAACCTCTTGTCTCGATCTGGTTCGAGTCTGAGCCCGGGAGAGTGGTTGGATATGATGCGCCAGATGGCCAGCTAGTTTGAGGTGCGTCTGGCCCGAAACTAGATAGGTCTGAAGTTGTCATTGGATTGACCGCTGAGCTCGGACTGTGATTTGAGGAATAAGATTGCCCGGTTATTGAGTGTTGAGGCTTGGAATTGTTTGCTCGGTGCGCTGGGTCGCCCATGGCTACTTCGCTTAGGAAATGAAGAGGTGTCATGCCCGGTGCCATCTGTGTTCTTGGATCGGCAGATGCCGTGCCCTTGGTATCATGGTTCCGGTGTGTCTGCGGGACAGACGTCTTCTCATCATTTGCAAAGACCTCTTTCAACTCCCGGCCATGATCTCCCTGATCGCGCTTTTTGATAAACCAATTTCGTAATAGGACCATTATGTTTCCAAATTTCGCTGCTGCACGGCCACCATCACGCGCTGCGGCAGTCCGGTAATGCGCGATGACTTTGTCCAGATAATAATCGATTTTAAGACTCTGCACATCGAGAACCTTCCGGAGTCGAATGTCCGGCGACATGAACAGTGAGTACATTTTCATCAAACTGACCACAGGGTACGTTGTCCGGGCTATTGTCGTCGTAGGTAATGATATAAGTCGGTCACTATCAATAGAGCAAACGACATCTATACTCCCATGAATGCAGCGGATGGCTGTGGTCAACGCATCAGTGACCGCAGCAACTGATGATCTGTGTAAATCATCCTGAGGTGGAGAGTTGTTGCCAGTGTTGAAGTCCACACACATTGCAGATCCATGCACAAAGAGATTCAGGACATGTTCTGTGTGAACCATCGGCCCTAGAAAATTGTTAGAAGATCAAAGCCGGGTCCCGAAACAAGGGACGTACCAGTATAAATATCCCGCGGGATCTCCTCTCTCCACTGTGCCAATCGATCCTCAAACACCTTCATATTATACCACAACTTGCTATTCGCGAAAGTGGAAATGGGTTCGGAATCCTCCGAAGAGAAGTGATGCCCAGACTCCTCCATTATCAATCCCAGCTTTGCCCACCATGTCAATTTTCGGTCGGAGGGTAGGGCATCCGGGTGGTTTTCTAGAATCTCAAGGCACTCGTCCATGTACGGCTGCCAGGTGACCAGGTGAACTCTTCTCAAAGCCGCCGACACCCTGTCAAAAGTTAGCTGAGACTTCTCACACCAGAACACCTGGATTGAAACTCACTGAACAGATAAGTAATAACACCCGACCCATGTCCGTCTTGCCTCCGGTCCTTCTGGATCAAACGTCGGGCCTGTCTGCTTTTTACTGATCAGCTCGCGGATCATGTTAATGGTCCGTCTATTTTCGGAAATACGGCGGTTCAATCCAAGATCCATTGCCATGATCACAGCCATGTGGGTCAAGCTATAGAACTTGAGCTCCTCGAAGTTATCTGGTGGTAGATACCAGATAGAACAGACCATTAGAGTCTGAACCAATTCAAGCGACTTTTGGCCTTTGACAACAACTTGCTCAGCGATCAGACGATATGCCTCATTCGTGAGGATAGGCTGAACATCCGGATTGAAGACGCCAATAGCAGCGCCAATGATAGCAAGAAACAAATAAGGTTTATTGCGCCGAACTTCCCCCATCGTAGTGCCTGGTGGGAAAACAACGAAGGGTATCTCTGGCGCCATCTGATGGATATACCGCTCAAACGCCGCGTTTGCAGTCTTGTAATCTACAAGCCCCCGGTCAATCATATCAGCAAACTCATTCCCGGCATCATGTTTCGGCGGCGCAGAATCGCCAGAAACAGGTTTGCGCCAATGCTTCGACGATTGAGTAGGAATCTGCTCGGCAGAGGGACTACCCGGTCGGGAATACCGCGGCGCTAGCAGTCCAGATGGATCCTTAACTTCGCCGGTATGTTGCCGCTTGCTCCCAGCCATCTTCGACTCCCCACCCAACCACCTCCGACTGGCCAGCTGCTCAGTCTTCTGCGCAGGCGGCGATGCTTGTTGTCCCGCTCCACCAGGGAACAGCGTACCAGTTGAATGCGATGCCTGCAGCGTAGCCGTTAGAGCATCGATCTTCCGCTCTAACTCCGCTACCCGGGTGTCGGTCTTTTTCTGCCGCTTGCGCGTCGGCGCAGTCACAATGCACGTCCGTCGCGCTTTCGCGCATCGCTTACATGATCCTTCCGGGTGTGCCGGATCTGGGTCGCAGCGGACTTTGAGCTGTCGGCAGGGCTCGCATGCGCGCGAGCGCTTGACGTCGCCGGGCGCATCGTGTGTCTCTGGGGATTGGTTGTCTGGACCCATCTCAAATGACGGGTGCGTATCCCCAAGACCATGTCTGTGCCCATTCCCATCACCATGTATATCCCGGCTTTGGTAGGGGTTTAGGGGTGCGTGGGATGGGGGCTCCGGGTACTCCGGGCCTGTGTTCATCGTCGGTCGGCCCGGGGTGGAAAAAGGCCGCTGAGGGTCCCCGTCTCGGCGTTGCAGCTGCGGATCGATTTCCATGCAGTGCGGGGGTTGTGTAATACCGGTTTCGGTACTATATAACTGCTACATATTAGCGTAAAATTCTCATTAATAGGTATAACTATTGTTTTGGCCATTGTTCCAATGTCATCGCTGACAGCTCATAGTGGCTGTATACGGGAAAATACACGGAGAACGGTGATCGCAAACACCGACCACCGATGTGGAGGATCAACATGTCTCAGTGGGGTTCTGTCAAGCAAGGGGAACACATAGAGTAACGCTTACCTCTATCTCTTATAATACCCCTTAGTCCTGTATGGCTTGATCATCACTTTTGGGGCCAGAAGTGAGGTGAAGTTGGATTTTTTGAGTTCTAAACTAACACCTTAGGGTCCACGTGACCTGTCAGAATCCTTAACAACACATTGCGTCTGCATTTATTGCGTTAATTCTTAAATTCAGATTATATTAGATTCATTGATAAATTAGATCTCAAAAGAAGACCCGTACGCTGAGAGGCATATTGGAAGCACAAATCCCAGACGCTGTGGACCAAAACATAGAAAAAAGCAATAAGTTAGGCTAATAAGCAAATCTCCTAAGATTTAGGCTAGATAGATGTGCACCTTATTAAGAGAGCTTGTGGACAGGGCACTCCATCTTCCTCTCAAACCAGTCAACAATGCAGTGCTTGTGGAACTTGCACAGGCACTCAAGGCGGGCCAGGGTCTGCCCAACCTCGTAGTCCTCCATACAGATCGTGCACTCTGCTGCCTGGCCATCCTCGCCAAGGCAATCCTTCTCTGTGGCCACAAATGGAAGCATGCGGGCTGCGGATGGAGGATGTGGTAGTGGGGATCCCTGTTGCATGGACGGTGTGCTGAGCGGAGCAGTGGGGGTCAAGTAGCCCTCGATGCATGCCCGGGTGTGAGCTTGGCGTGCCTCAAGAGGTTGCTCGGGACTCAGTGGAGGAAATTGCCGTCTGCATACGGGGCAGAAATCACCCTCGTCTGGTGCAGGTCGACGGGACGGGTTACCCTCACGGCTAGAAAATGAACGACGTGGTCGGGTTATGCCAGTGGCCGAGGGAACTTGGCGGGGTTGCGAGTTCAGTTCATTCAAAAACCGTGGTCGATCATTTGCACCCACAGTTCGTCGTTCTTGACGAGCTTCAGGATGATGGCTTGGACCCTGTGCCAGTCCATGTCAGTCTATGTTTCATTGAGCAAAGGGATAGGTGATAACCAACCGATGAGGCACGGTATACGTTGGCCATAGTGGATGAAAGAGAATGAGTGGATCGGTGGGCATGTGTCCGGACAGTGCCATAGTCAAGAGGATTCGGGTTTGGATCTGGCACACATGGATTGCAAAGGCGTACTTCTTCGCCCCCACCAAGAGCAGGATTGAGTGCTGTCGATACTGATGATGATATGACATGGTCATCGCCCGTAAGATCGATGACTGGTGGTGGGTGGGAGGAAGGCATTGGCGGAGAATCGCGGAGATCAACAAACTCAGGGGGGCGGACAATATATTGTTTGGGAATTGTGATACGATGCGGGGAACATGATGCACATACAACTCTCCCACACTTTCGACAATGGTGCTTTCTGTGCCAGAAGTTGAACACTACCCCACAGATCGGACATTCTGACACTTCTGAATCTGCCTGCCATTTGGGGAGAGCTATATCCATAACTGGTTGGGCTAAATTATTGTGGACAGATGTAGCGGAGCGGGGTTGATTGACCCAGGGTGTTGAAGTCTCCTGTCGAGGGAGACCTGGCGGTTGCTCGCCTGAAGTAGAAGAACGAGGCACCCCTGGAGGAGAGGAAGATATACCAATTGCTGTTGCAAGTGACGAGCCAGGTGCTGCGGAAATAGAAGACCTGGTTCGGGACGAAGGTAAGACCATCGAAACGGATCTATGTGGCAGTATACTTCTGGAGGATCCCCCATTGCCTGGGGCCGGGCCAGCCGTTCCTCCAGGTCGTCCCCATTGCAACCTCGTATCCTCGCCGGTACTGGTCAACCGTCTTTTACGTTCTGGCCCAGAGCGAATGGGAAAGACTCTAGCCCTAGAGCTACCTTCTTCGTAGCCGCTGTAGCTTGCAGCTCCGATTATGCCATCTCCCTCAAGTCTTTCGACCGGCCTTCCGCCCTCCCGCGCGCTCGACTGGGGGCTGGACGATGCCGTGCTTGATTCAGGCATTATTATTGCTGGTTTGACTGGTATAAACCCTCTATGTGGGATTCCGCTCAACACAGGCAACGAGATCGATCTCGGCCCTCGGGGTGACAGTCTTCATGAACCAGGTGGCGATGGGGAGAGAAATGGATAGTGGGGGATTCGATAATATAGATCTAGATGGACTGACGATCCTTTCCTGCAATCTTGGGCTCAGCCTCAATGACGTTGACGCTTTTTGCCGAAGATCGCATCCAGGAGTGACAGAATGATGCTTATCATGGAGCCAAGGCTGGACCTGATTTAGGAGATGGATGAGGCTGAGAGTCTCGTGACTATGCTCTCGAATGCCAACAACACAAGAATATTGCTAGCAGCAGATGGAAGTAAAATGAAGAGAACTAGAGTAACTCTTTAATTCATAGAGAAAGAGAAAATGATGTAGACCATTGCATCCATGGATGTTTGGTCCAGATACGTTATCGTGGGAGGGCGGTGAGGGCGGTGGCGATTGACAGTATCGGCCCGATCTGCCCGCGTATCATCGGCCTCGGTTTCTCATTTTGCTCTGAAGCCTCAATGTTTTGAATGAGCTCAAATGATAAAAAATGATAATAAGATTCATCAGTTATTCTACAGTATTCCCAGGGAAATGGTCAAGTTAGCATGTAAATACCATATACTAAGGAAACTTTCTTGTGCATCAGCATGGCAGGATCCTTGCATGGTAGGTACTGTCACTATGCACTATGCATGATGCAAGAGACATGGCTTATATATCAAAGCCTTAACACCTCAAAGAAAGAGCACTAATGAACAGTCCCCATTAATTATGATCTTGGTACTACTGTGTCCTAAGATTGATACAAGAAAAGTGAAAAGAGACAGGTACAGAAAGAAGCAAAGCCCAAAAGGGAAAAGAGTAGGTAGCCTACATAGTAGGTTCAGCGACAGCCAGAAAAGGTAATAAAAAGCCAACGAGCTCACTCCCCATTATGTGTATCTCGGGATCGGAGATAGAACGCCATCGCAGCAATTTTAGGTAGAGACACAAAGCAAGAGACAAACAAACTGAAACCAAGGAAATTCGTGATAGTGGCATCAATTCGCCAGATATTCAGGAAAGACACGGTGATGACATCAATAAAGGTGAGTAGGAAATAAGTGAGATCCATGGATCAGAAGAGGGATAGAGATAAAGAGAGGTAGATATCGAAGGAAGAGGAATATACTGGTTCAAAATACATATGTGGCTGCCTTTTTGTCCTCTTTCTAGTGTTCATGCTTTCCTAGAGTAGTTTCGTCGACAAGTTCTGCTGAGCTACCTGCAAATGAAGGTTCATCGGGGCTCGCCTCGTGGATTTGGTCGTGTGCGCGACGTTGAGGTACATAGCCCATGCTCGAGGGCCGTTCCACTCGAGGGCCCGTCTGCTGGCTCGAGGCGTTTGACCTGGACCTTGAGGTAGAGGTCATAGACAGGCCTCGTTCACGAGATGGCGAGCTATCCCCGCTGAAAGGAAGGCGCCCGGTGGCGGTGCCTTCGGGCTGGAGATGGTGCTCGGAGTGCTCAGAGTGCTTACGGGCTGCAGAGTCGTGCGACAGGGTCTCAGTGACAACTGGAAGGCCAAGCGCAGTTCCATCTGTGTCTTGTTCATCAGGAGCCTGTGTGCGGCGAGAGCCCGTTCGACTGGGCAACTCGATGCCACCACCCACCGACGTATTAAGTTGTGGCAGTACTGGCGGATGCGTCTCACTTGACCGCTCCGGGTCGTGGTCATTATCTGAATCCTCATAAGGAACATTGCCAGTAGACACATTCCGAGAGTGGCTGGCGGATGGCGTGCCTGGATCATCCTGATATTGTTCATTATAGTCGCCTCCTCGCGGGAACAGACCTGGAGGAGGCGCACGAGCACTTCGGACCACCTCAAATCCTTTAGCGTTGTCCTTCGTCTTCCCTTGAAGCAAGCTTCGGAACCAGCCCGTCGCAGACGAGACTGGGCCAGTGGGATCGGCTGGCCCAGTTTTCAACTTTCTGGTACCGCTGTGGGAGAGCGGTGGGCCTCGGACACCGTAATAGAAATCAACCTCCCGAACAGCATAGTCCTTTGGCTTACGTGGGGTATCGAGCTCCATGTCATCCTTCGGCGCTGCTAGATATGCTGCAACGGGTGTGGCCCGGCCAGACATGGTACCGTCCGCCAGCTCGTCTTCGGTATTGACTGCTCGGCGGCTTGATTTTGATTTCAAAAATCCCCTTGACGGGCTCTTCCCTTTCTCGAGAGAACCACTTGGCTGAGGGCTCTTTCGCCCGGGGCGGGGTGGTCGATAATAGGGATCGCGAGGATTCATTCCCATCATCGTACCACTACTGGGTGAGCTAGGGAAGCCAGCTCCTTGATAGGCGGTCGAGGTAGGTGTGGGGAATCCTCCACTGGGCGCACGACTGTGCGTACCCCCTTGCGAGCTGGCATAGTCATAGACAGCGCTGGCTCTACCATCACTGGCTGTGGCACGGTTCAAAAGCAGGCCAGAGCTCCCAGAGAGACTGCGCGGGCGCGATCCATCAAACTGAGAAGACATACGGTCGTCACCATGACCGAGCATAGCAGCCTCGGAGCCCATACTCTGGCGAGTAAGATCACGCCGCGGAGTTCGCCTAGAGAGCTGGCGCATGCCAAGCACCTTAGTTAAGCCACCACGAGTGGCTCCGCCCGCACCAGCCAGTCTTGCTAAAACCTCGATCAACGTTTGCATCGCGTTGAGGAAGAACCCGAATACGAGAACCACGGCGTGTAGCACAAGGATCAAATATCCAATCCAACCTCGTGCCGCATCCCCGACTGTCAATGACGGTACAAAGATGACGCTCAAGATAACTGTCAAGAAACGGACAATAGAGAAGAGGCAGTGATACAGGTTCATGTGAGTCGGTCCTGAAAAAGGTCTAAAGGCCAGCAGGGTTAGTACGGAGACAACTTCGCAAATGGCTAGCATTACCACCTGGGCGATGCCAGATGGCTGCAAAGCACCAATTGCTATCCCGCGAGCGATATTCAACACAATTGGAACGATACCAAAGGCTGCTGCATCGTCGCAGTATGTGTTATATAGCGGCCCATACAATAGCACCGTGGGGAGATCATCGAAAAGGTGAGACTTGGGTCGGGTAGAAAGAATCACTCGAATAACCCAGATGGAGAAGCAAGCGAGAAGAACAAGCACCACCGCTGCTAAAGCAACACAGTAAGCAGCTGATTGACGAGCAAGAACCAGCTGGAAGAAGGAAAGAGAAACGATTGGCAAGAGAAGGAAATTGAAGACAATGCGAATGAGGTTGCCTATGGTAAACGGCATGTTTCTGGCACGCAGATCCTGGTCGGTGTTGTTTGCCAACTCACGATACAGCCATCGAAGCGCGAATGCGATCTGGAACAGCACCGTCACAGAGGCCAGGATTACCAGCACCCATATCATCATACCGGGCCAGATATCCTGGGACGAGGCCATGCCAACCAGTTTGTTCAATCGATCGAGGCCATAAGTCCCATTGATGGCATAGACACCATCGACAACGGGATCTTGACCCATTCCAGTGCTCACAAAACTCTGATTGAACATGAGAGTCGACCATGCTCCTTGGCTCACTGCAGGCTGGAAGAAGCCTGGGTAATCCAACGAAAGCGAGCCCGTTAAGACCACGAATTGAAGGTACTGCAGGCAATCTGCAAATCCAGGAGTGACAAGCCGGAGAACATCCTCATCACGGCCGTAGTTGCTTGTCCACCGGAATAAATCAGTTGTGCCCCAGGGACTATACATGGCAGCAGCGATGGTTGTAATTCCCACGAATATCAGAATGACAAGAGGCACATAGGCGAGGGCATTTTTGAGGGACGTTCCGAAGTCCGGCGTTGCTTTCACTGAAACACAGGCGAGCTGAACCGCGGATGCATCTCCAGAGCGTAGCGTCAATAACGGTGTGATGGTTCCGAAACGGTAGGTTGAAAGCATATCATGTTGAACGGAGAACGCATGTAATGTCGCCAAATCACTCCTGCATAAGGGTAAGAGATTAGTTCAAGAAGTACGGAGAGCTTTCTAGTCCAGGAATAGCTTACATGTTGGGATTGAAAACCGGGCCCAAAGGGAGAGTACCCTGCGTGAGCGAGTCGCGGAAACGAGAGGCATTGTGGAAGGGCGTGAAGCTGAGTACATTGAGATCCGTCATCAGCGTGCTGTACCTGTTGTTGGTACTGCTCACATCCTCGATCTTCCCATCGGTCCAATTGGGATTTATCCAAACCTCGTCATCCGGTGCCGGGTAATTTGCAGTTCGAGACACAGTTCCCGAGACATTGCCATATATTGTGATGTCGAGTGGGTGTAAAGGGTTGGTAAGGTTGAATTTGACGGACACGTTGGTAGGAACGAATTGAAGTTGTAGAGGGTCAGACTCGAGGATGGTTTTCGATAGACAATTTTCAAAGTCCAATAGAACTGCGGCGGCTGGCGATGCAAAGCTCAGTAAGCAAAGCAGTGCAATCCACCACACGGGGCTCCATGGTTGTGCTCGACGTTTCGAAGTGTCGCGCCATGGCCGACCTTGTGAAAAGTACAACCCACTGTGTCGCGGCCACCTAGTTCCTTTTTGTCGAAGGGAAAATGAGGATTCGTCCAGCTCGATCTCCGCCGAGTCGTACATGTCCACTTCGGGCATCCGGGATGACCTCCTCGGGGAGGTCAACCCCCGGCGTAGATGATCAAATCCACGTTGTGTTGACAGTGGGTCGGTGTCGGGGTCTCGTCCACCGCGCGCACCCCTTCCCAGGGTTGGTAGTCGGGATTAAGAGGAATCTTATCACAGGAATAGAGCAAGGATGAGTCTCGCGTGATGGAGGGTTCGAAGTTAGGCCGGTGCCTGGAGCCCTGAAGGTACGTAAGTCTGCGTAAGTTGGCCGCTAAGTCGTCAAACGCGGCAGATCCCGGGAGAAGAGATCGGAAATCAAAGTGCAAAACACAAAGTGGAAGAAGCGACTTAATTTTTGCAGTGGGTTTGGTCTGTTGTTGTTGCTGCGCCTTGTTTGGTCTGGCCCTGGTGGAGTTTGACGGCTGACTACTCGACTATGCTAATAATAGGCTATATACTCTTTTACTTCCTTTTTTTTTTCAACTGAGAGTACTCCGTAAGACTAATGAACTAAATACAAATCAACTAGCAAAATCTTCTTCTTTTTTTTGGACTATTTCCTATTTCATAATTATACTATGTTGGCTGTGAGCTAAACCCCCTAGGAAGAACTAACCGAGACCCTGAATCACTACATAAATTCACATATGATCATACCCAAGGACCAAACAATGTTGATTAGGAGCACATGTCTTTACATAACTATGTACGGAGTACTCCGTACTCCGTATGTCTTTATATTATTATCGTTGTGTGTTTCAGCGCCATTCACCCTCACATGTCTCAGCCCGACCCCAAATAGTCGCTCAACGTGTCTCACTGCTCGGTGATCATGCCGAATATTAAGGCTATCTTCATGCCGAGTAGCGTCCGGCAAGACTTGGGGTTCGGCTATGCCGTGAAACTCTTGAGTTTACAAGGCCACACCCTACGATGTCTTGGGGAATGTGTGTGCCATACAAAACGAGTGATCACGAAGGTTCAGATGGTAAAATTTTCAGGGTCTATATAGTAGTACCCTGTGTGAGCTGTCTAACTCCACTAGGGCTTTCGGGATTTATGGTGAGACATGTATGGCATCAGGTCATGAATAGATGCCGATATGGAAACGGCTGTTCATATCTGAGTTACAGATGTCTGCATACATGGGATCCTTCCATACTATGTATTCTAGAAATCTTAGAAGTATACTAAGATATCCAGATACAAGAATATTTCTGAACATAAAAACTATCAAAAAGCTTAACGCCACAATGAGAAATGCCTCGTTTAGTTCTTTTCGCCTAACAGCCTGATCCAGCTGAACTAAAGCCACAAAATTCTCTAGCCCCTTGACTATACTCAATCATTCCTTCTTCCTTCACTACTTAACAGATCTAACTCTGTCTCTAGCACTAGTTTGTATATTTGGCGACGCTGATGTTTGCTTGTCCACAATGTCGTACAGTATATATGACTCATATGTTCATTGCTTGGTATAGACTGGATTACTCCGTACTCCGTACAGCGAACCTGATTAACCTCCACAGTTTATTATCTTATGTATGTTGTAGGGTTTGAGTATATCTGTCACATGATCTTCTACTCCCCTACAGTGTTTCCTCTTTTCCCTTCTTAGTCTTACATACAAAAGTATTGTCTCATGCTTTGTGAATTTATTTACTATTATTCAGCGGCACTCAAGGCTCAATATCTGAGAGGTCGAATCATTATAGACTCTATCTTTTTTTCTGTTACCATAACGATATATCTCTGTCATGTTAAGGAAAGTTGTTTATTATAGGCCTAACACATATATGATCATATACACAAGGCTTAGAACTTATTTTTATATGCCTAACCCAAAATTGTATAAATACCTTAATGTATATCTTAATCTATATCTGCGTGAGACGTGTGTTGTGAGAAGGTGTGAGTTAACCTCCAGTTCGAGATAACCCCGGATCTTGGTATGCCAAGCCACCATCTGTTCATTACAAGGTTACGAGGTAAATTGTGATACGATGAGGACTTTCAAGATCCACCTTTTAAGGCATGTACAATGTATGAACACTGGGTCTCATAAAGAGTATATTCTAGATATGTGGCTGTTCGAGCTTCTCGAATTTCCTGGTTTTTGAGGGCTAAGAGCAAGACATATAGCGGTGACAAAGGACATTACGGTTCCTTGCAGACATCTGCAGCCATTGATATCATACATATTGGATAGGTGTAGCAAATTAGAGCCTCGAGGCAAAGTAGGGACCTTGCATTAAACGGAAGGACGAAAAAGGGAAGCCGATAAATGGCACTTGGTCAAATACCAAATTGGGGACAACACCCGCCAAGGATAGAGAGCACGAGGGTTAGTCTATATTAACAAATTAATCAAGGCCCAATTACCTTGAGTCTCAAATTTCGGGCGCTAAGAAGCCCCCCTTAGTTAAGATTAAGTGATATTGTTAAATGTAAATATTCCTAGGTTTGACGGTTTATAAGTTGCTGAATATTTAACCATATCCATATTTTGATGTACAAGATAATTAGTATACCCATCCCATATAAATTCGTTTGAGAATATCTTTAATTTCTTAGAACTCATCGGGATCCTTAATCCAATTAGGACTAGTCTAGTTTCAGTATGAGACGAGCGGGATATGCTGATTGGATATGTATAGTGACTTTTGAAAGGCGTTCTGTAGGTGTTTGAAGTTGTATATAAATTTACTTACTATTAATATCTTCAAAATATCAGATTAAGCCTATCAAACCTCTTAAAACCTATAATAACATGTGTTGTTAACCTATTAATATTCGCTATACTACCCAAATCGGCTCCACAGAAAAAAGCCCCGACTCCACTGTACCTGCGGAGTATCTCCAGAGAGCCCTTCCCCCCCCCCCTGTACCTTTTTACCATTTCACCTGTCTCAGGCTGCTGGTCCAGCTTTATTTATCCAGAGTAAGTAAATGCCATGTGCTATCTTTGGGGAGGAAAAAAAAACAAAATTAATGCTAATATACTGATAGGAAACCCAACCCCACACCACCCCACCCCACTACTACCCCCCCCTACCAACTCATCCCCTTCCACTCCCCCTCTCCTTTTTGGGGAGGAAAAAAAAACAAAATTAATGGTAAAATACTGATAGGAAACCCCCCCCCCCCCCCCCTCTTGACACTTTGGACCATTTTGAGACATTTGACACTTGACACTTCACACTTGACACTTCACCTCTTCCCTCCCCCTCTCCCCTTCCCCGCTATTCGATCCCTAATCCTTATCTCACACCCCCTTTCAGGGAGAGGGGATATCTGAGGACTGGTATCCTTCGTCTGATTGAGATGTGGACTGCGTCTACTCATCTTTCCTGTCATGTCTGCCGATGACCCATTCTCCTTTCTGCCCGCGGAGCAGGCCAAACCCGCGAAAAAACACTGGAAGAACAAACTATTCTCTAAGGATAAGAATAAAGCTGCGTCGCATCAAACTCAAGAAATCGCAGACTTCCTGGGCTCTCGCAACCCAGAATCAGCGCCTCCCCCACCTATCGACCCGCGATACATTCCTCCGCAAAACGCTGCCCGTTTCCCTTCCTCAGACCTCTCCGGATACCCCACCAAGTCAGTCCCTGCGCCGGCATCGGCATCAGCCCCAGTCTTGCCACGCGAGAACTATGCGCCGTTCAATTTCTCGGAATCTACTACTGTGCCCGCGCCCACTCCTGCCTCGGCTAAACCTAGTGGTCGCAAAGGGAAAGGATTGCGGGTGGGTTTCAGCCCTCAAACCCCAGAAGTGATTGGCGAAGGAGGCGATGAGACGGAATCGCCAACAATTGAGATTTCGCGGGCTCGTGAGAGATCGGACAGCAAGGGGACCCAGTCTGGCAATATCCCTGCATCCCTCTCGGAAGCTTCGCGGTCACATCTGCCAAATCTCCGACTTGACACATCGCTGGACGATGCCGATGCGCGATCCAGAAAGGCGGCTCGTTCGCCCCGTGAGGGGTCGGACTGGAAACCCCTGCTGATGCAAAATTCTCAGGATGCAGACTTGTTGATGTCCTTGCCTTTGAGCGACAGCGGCTCTCGATTGTCATTCCGCGGCGATAGCGAGGCAAGTTCATTCGCACAACGCGTCCGCGACAAGATGCAAGCAGAGGAAGGTCGCGCATTGCATCACCGCTATGATGAAGATACATCATCTCCTGGAGCCGAAGATGATGATATCTCGACTCCTCCCAGCCCTCAGAGCCCAGAACCGCCCATAAAAGCTTACAATCCCAAATCGGCTTACGAAACAGCTCCAACGACGGGGCTTCCCCATGCGCCGTCAATTTCTCTATCGATGCGATCTATTGTCGATTCGATTCGGAACCCCCCTAGCCCCTCCACACAATATGCGCCAGCGAATCTCAGCCCCATTGACCCACGAATGCCCACGAATCTCATTCCAGGTAGCCCCGGCAAGGCTTCACCGACATCTGCTAAAGCGCCATCCCAGGACCTGCCTGCATCAAGCCGGACGTCACCCCCCAGTCGCGAAGGCCAAGAGCCGCCACGTAGCTCTCAACCCCCCAAATTCTCTCTTCGAAATGTTGCCAGCCAAGTTGGCGACACCGCGTTTGCTGAATTCATTGCGTATAATGCAGGATATGAGCGCATTATTAAACTTGCAGCAGAGGATGTCAAGCCATTGGTTGAAACATCGCTCGCAGAATGGATTCGGGCTGCAGTCTGGTGGTTTTTGCGAGGAAAGACACGATTGGAAACGTATGCCCGTTCCCGTTCGACACTGCCACCTACCTACGCCAAGCAAGCTGTGATTGATCTTGGAAAGGCATTATGGATAAATGAAAATATTGTGCCTAGCCATCCTGAACTCTCTCGATACGGTTCCATGAGCGTTGACGCCCTACTGGCCGTTTCGAGTACCACCGGCGACAAGGAGTTGGCTGATCATCTGAGTATACATCAAACTCTCATCAATCACCTCCGGTCGCTGGCAATGTCTATCAAACGAAACAACATCCTCACCTTGGTTGTCTCAGATGAAGGCTCTCCTAGCCAGCTGGATACTAGTGTCTGGCTGCGGTACCCCTTTTATGCGCCCGACGTTTCAGCAGTTTTATCTGGTGCGGCAACAAGATCAATGTTGGTAGATAACGCGGGAAAGACCCCAAGTTTGGTACACATGATGCCTTTGGGCGACACAAGTCGATACTTCAGCTATGGTAGCATGTTCGTGCAGGTCTGTGTCAGCTCCAGTGATGATGATGGCCAACAACAATATGCCATGCCCTGCGCATTGACCATCGTCCGCGAACGAGCGGATTGGTATGTATTTGCGGCAATCACTAGCCAAAGTAAACTTGTCAACATTTTGATTCAATCCGATCGCAAGCAGGGACCGACTTGGGAGGATGTGGATTGGCAAGTCCGGTCTCATTCTATGCGAGTCAAGCTCCCCCGAGGATTCGAGTTAGATGTTATGTTCAAGGAAGACGATTTCAAGACTCTTTGGAATATCGTCAAATACACCCAGCAGTCGGAGAACAGTCTCCATCCGGAGGCAGGCGAGACTGTCGTATTTGAGAATACTCTCAAGGTTTTCCAATATATGGATCCCGGGACACCAAAGGCATTCCCTTCAGACCCTACAGAAAGATCTCGAATCCGTTTGTTCGAGCGATCTGTCACCGTGACAGAAGGCACTGGTACTCGCAATGCGCATCGGGGATTCCGACTAGCTATCCTGACCAGTCCCAAGGTCAAGACTTTGAGCAGCATTCGCCATACTTTGGGCAACGGCTCACCGATATTGTTCGGTCTGTTGCGAGGCGAGGACGGTGCTCCTGCTCTTCTCCTCAAAGTGACTGAGGGAGGCCGTACGAGATCCATGTTGATGACTTTCCACGAGGTGGCTGAACGTAACAAAATACACTCCGTGCTGCTCGGCATGATTCCACGCGAGGGAGAGATCAAGTCACCCGAGTTCGCCATCCAGTCTTATTCCATTGAGCAGCCCGAAGATTCCTTTACCGGCCAGCCCGCAGTCAAACACCTCCAGTTCCCAGCTGGAAGCGTGTCCGTTATCGATCAGGAGCATGCTTACGTCGAGCATGGTTATGGACCGACCATTCTATCGGAACATCTGAGGGCCTTTATTGCCACTGAATGGGGTTCCGTCACGGATCGCATCAACTTAGGTAGCATTCGTCTGCCTCCTCTCCTCTAAACCGGTTGCTAATTTTGTCCAGGACCCGGTGAATTGAAAATTGGTTTGGATGTCCAGAGCAAGACGAGCATGAGCTTGTTCCGCTCTGCGCAGCAGGATCTGACCCTTTCCCTTGCGGATAACCTTGTTCGCCCTGAACTGGTAGGACAATTAACTGGCTTCCTTGAGAAAATCACGGCGAAGCCTATGATACGCCGGCTGGACTTCCCAACAATGCAGGGTATGCGTACTTCTAACATTTTCCCTGCTTTGCTAACTCCATCTAGATCTTCATGCCTTTGAGGCAGCTGTGACTGGTTTCCAGGTGCTTTACGATGGGTGAGTCTATCACATCTAGCCGTTGGGTCAATATCTTGCTGACCAAACTAGTATGGCTACATCATTCACCATCTCCCGTCGGCGGAGTATGGTTCCCATTTATAAGAAATGGGAAGCTTCCCTGGCACGAGTCCAGATTGTTCGACAAGAGAAAGTCGTTCAAATGCTTGCTTTCTTCGGGGACTTCCAGCATGGCACATGTATGAACTTTGTTCTTAAGGGGACTGATATCATGGAGTCCTTTGGCCGGTCCGGCAAGTTCGGAATTCGCATGGTAGATGCCAAGTTCGCACTACCTAAGAAAGACGATAACCCAGCTTCCAACTTTGTGTGTCTCGACATGCCTGAGTATCCCATTGAACACGACGATCTCACCATCACGTTCGATACAGAGGCTTGTGAGTGTATCTCTCTTTTAATACTATTCTTCCGCTAACTTTGTCCGATAGCACGCGCAAGCTTCAAGGCAGCCCTTCCTGGATTAGTACGAGAGCCATCCCGCATGGGCTCTATACGTCGATAATCCATTTCTCCATCTTCCACGTGACTCATTACGTGATTTTTCCCCCTCATCCCCCTCCCCCGAGATCGGATCCCGCATTTTCCGGTGTATTATAACTCGTTGCTGGATGGACCCTTTCTGTGCATACAATTCAAGAAACATAGCATTTTTTATCATGTCGCACTCTAGCGAAGCCATTGGCACCTCTACGCGTTCTCTGCATGCCGATGATGCCCTGAACCTCGTTACTGATGTTGCTCCTCCTATGCATCTCTCTACCACATTTCGTTATTCCAATGATCCAACCCAGCTAGTACCGGCTGCCGATGCCATACCTGTATGCACTTTGACTCGCTATCATATCCCTTACCTAACATATATATTCAACGTAGGCCGACTTTGATCCAACCTCCCACATCTACTCGCGCATGTCCGCGCCAAATCCCACTCGCTTTGAAACCATCCTCTCCTCCCTCATACACGGTCAAGTCATAAGCTACTCCTCCGGCCTATCAGCCCTACACGGCGCCCTCACCCTCCTCAACCCTCGCCGCATCTCCGTCGGTGATGGCTACCATGGCTGCCATGGTGTCATCGCCCTCTTCACCCGCCTAACAGGCCTCCAAAAGCTGCCGCTCGACTGCTCACCCGATCAACTCGAAAAAGGCGACGTAATCCTCCTCGAAACACCCGTCAATCCCCAAGGCACTGCCTTCGATATTGCGTCCTACGCCGCCAAAGCCCACGCCCGCGGTGCATACCTCATCGTCGACAGCACCTTCGCCCCACCCGGCCTCCAAGAGCCATTCCAGTTCGGTGCAGATATTATCATGCATTCGGGCACCAAGTACTTCGGCGGCCACAGCGATATGCTGTGCGGTGTCCTTGCCACCAACCGCGACGACTGGGCTGCACAGTTGAAATCTGACCGTCTCTTCATCGGAACCGTCATGGGCAGCATGGAGGGCTGGCTCGGCGTCCGCAGTCTGCGCACACTGGAGATCCGTGTCCAGCGCCAAAGCGAGAATGCCACTCGTCTCATTTCCTGGCTTGATGCTGCTCTTCACGCGCCTAATCCTGCGCCTGACAGCGATGAGGCGGCGGTACAGGCTGTTCTTGGTGAGGTCCTCCATGCTAGTTTGCAGAAGGTTGAGGGCGACTGGTTGAAGAAGCAGATGCCTAATGGGTTCGGACCTGTTTTCTCTATTATTATGAAGGAGATGCGGTTTGCGCGTGAGTTACCGAGTAAACTACATTTCTTCCAGCATGCTACTAGTTTGGGTGGTGTCGAAACGCTTATTGAGTGGAGGACTATGACTGATCAGACTGTCGATCGGAGATTATTGAGAATTAGTATTGGATTGGAGAATTGGGAAGATTTGAAGGCTGATATGACGAGGGCTTTCCGTGAACTTGTGTAGACGAATATATTACCCCTCATTGGTTTTAGTCATCTCTCTTTATCAGGCTCTCTCTTACCCTCTCCTTTCACCTTTCCCTTCCACCATTCTCTGTCAATTCTCTTCCACCATGTCAGAAACATTCACAATCCACTACTTTGCAACAGCATCCCAATATACCTCCAAAAATACAGAATCGCTTCCTGCGCCCCTGAAACTATCCGATCTGTTTGGCGAATTGGAACAGCGTTACCCTGGCATTGTTCAGATCCTGTCTAGTTGTGGTATTAGTCTGAACGGCGAGTATGTTGATGTCGAAGAGGAGGGGGATGTTGTTATTCAGACTGGAGGTGAGGTGGCTGTTATTCCCCCTGTGAGTTCGGGGTAGACTTCCTCGCCTCCGATATCGCCAAAAATTGCCTGTGGGAGTTCAATTGAAAAATATGGCTCTCCTCGCTATGAAACCCTGGAAAGGGCAGTTCAATCAGAAGGATACATCTTATACCTACGTGTATATCACAACCTTCGTTTCTTACTGGGATGGCGACATCTTGGCTCAATTTCGAACATGGTTGATGTTTTTGGAATTGTCAGACACTCGTGAAGAGTAAAGATCCCAAAGAGACTACATTAACAGGTTGATTGAATTGCAAATGAACTGTTCATGTTTTCTAGGAAAACTACGTATATATATCCTTGACTAAGTACAAATCGTAATAGTCGTTATATACCTCTTCAAGTCATAGGAGATTAACCCTAAACATACCATTTTAGCTTATATCTACTATAGGTCCTTAGTCCCGCTGTTCCCATTGCTTGATATTGGTTATTAATGCATGTGCTATAGGTAAAATCATCAAAAGACAAAAGACAGTTGAACTCATCTCACTTCCCAGCCATATCCTATTCAAGTCATATACCATTCCATTACTCCACACTCTTCTCAGCAAGAGCCTTCTTCTTCTGCAGCCACAAACAGATATTGCACATAACAGAGAAGAAAAAGAGAATACTAAACCAATCCAAGTCAGTACAAATTCATAACAAGCGTCTGAAAAAAAAAAAAAAAAGGAAAACTCACCAAAGCCCAATACTCAACCCCCAAATAGCCTTGGTCTCCATACAAATCGCTTTGGAAGCTCCAATCCACGAAACATAATCAATCTTCCCACTGACACTAGCAATGTAACTCGAAAGACGAGACGCAAATGCATACGACGTAGCATCTTTATCTCCCAGCTCCGCCAGCGCTGTGCACTCCAAGTATGAGAGTGGTTTACCGACGACAACGGCGACGACAATCAATGCGATTAGAAGTAGCATGTCTAGCACGCCACAGGCTAGGAATGGGAGGATGTCATCTTGGTACAGGATTGCGGTGATTATGCAGTAGATTGCTGCGATACAGGTCTGTTGGGATTGTTAGTGGGTTTGGAATTCGAGTGGATGGAGATATGAACTTACCACGCTAATTGTTCCGATTAGGATGTTTGGGGGTGTGGCGTTGTTTTGGATTATTACGCTGATGAATTTGGCGGTCATGCCGATTATGGCGATTAGGGAGCAGGCTTGGAAAAGGCGGGATAGTTGGAAGGTTGCCCCGAGGGCGCCGTAACGAGGGGACATTGTGGATTGGATTGGAATGGATTGGAGTAATGAATGAGGCTGGAGGGTCAATTGGCCTGGATGGTTGTATATATGTCGATGTATTCGGGGTCGAGGATAAATCGAAGATAGTGCAAGCAAAGATACTGTAGATATATGTGGAATGAAAGGCTTTGAAGGATTAGAAAACAGGAAAAAAAAATTTCCAAGAACAAAGGAAGATTGTGTTCTGAATGAAAGTGAAGCTGATTGTTAGATTGAAGACCAGGCTGGTTACGGCTCTCTATATAGACATCAACAAAGGACTCTGTCTCTCCATGACATCAATTGTCCGAAGTCTAGACCAGATTAAATTAGCATCAAATCTAGACTTTCTCTCCAAGCTGGGCTTTGTCTTTGTGTGTTACAGATTCTGGGGAGGCGCTCTTGTCAATAGGATGACCTGACTGGCTCTTATTAGGCTTCCGCATACAGCGATCGACATAAATGGTAGCTTAAGATAGTAGAGCTTATAGCTCTTTGCTAAATATATTATTGGAATACTTTGAAAATAATATACTATATGTAGCATATTGTAGGTCCGATTGACCCTGGCGCTTGGAAGAAAACCCTAACTTGCCCCGGGTGAATCTCAGCCACTCGTTCCCTGAGCGTCTACAAATCTGAAGCAGGCGCCAAGATTCGATCTAATTATTGACTAGGATGGTAAATGCATAGTAGATCAAGTTTCAGGGTCTTGCATCTAGACCCAAATATTTAGAAATGTTTATTATCCGATTGGAACCTCTTGGTAGGTATTTTCCTAACGGGAAGTCATACTGGAATATATCATGGGCGGATCGCTAATGCACCTACTGCCGTTTTTCTCTTGAGTCATATAATTAAAACCAATTATTTGAGTCTTCGTAAATTATAGACGATTAAATATATCCAATGTCTAGACCCTCTTGACGTTCAGTCCTTCAGCCTCCAGCCTCCACTGGTCCGGTGCTGGAAGAACCCTTCCGGGTCATACGCCTTCCTCGTCTTCAGAGCAAGCGCTTTGGACTCGGGACTAATACGGCCCCAATAATCTTGGCGGTGATACGCGTCATTCATGAACAATGGTCGATACACGTCAGGAAGAAGACCCTGGTCGATGTGCTTCTTGGTCAGGTCGTCGATTCCCTGGTAAAGTTGGACGGTGGCTACGTCCATCTTTCCGTCGTCAATGGATAGGCCGTAGGAGAAGTCGAGCTCAAAGATAATGTATGGTTGATCGGAGGGAATGTCGAGGAGGTCCTGAGGATTTGTTAATATGATCTCTCTCTTTCTTTTCCATTTGGGATGGGATTCATACTCCACCGCGGTCCTTGGCATTCTGAGAGAACGATTTGGGCATGGGCTGGAAGGAAATTGTGCCAAGTGAGCCGGCCACTCCTAGTACAGACTTGCTCACGTCGCGGAAATGGTCATAGTAATCGTGGAGCGGAGCTGCTCCCACGGTACTGTTGGGAAGGGGTGTGGTCTCAGTGGCGATGTTGTATCGCTGTCCTCTAATAACTAGTTAGCAAGTGAGTCAAGAATTAACAGTTGGTTTTCTTACTTAAGAATAAAGACGTCGTTGTGCTTGAGCAGGTCGTAGTAGGTATCCCAGGTTTTGACGTTTGAGGTGTGTTTAATAGCAGTGAACTCGTCGAAGACTCCAGAGGGGGGCTCGGGGCCGTCGTAAAAGACGAACAAAAGACAGAAGTCAAGCAAAAGACCGCGCTGGAATGTCGCGATGATTGCTGCCTTATCGTCAGGATAATCGTCGGTGAAGTTACGCACAGCCTCGATAACTTTGTGGGCTTTGTCGGATGTGAAAGTATAGGTGCCACCCCAGACTTTGTGGGGTTGAGGATGCGTCTGCACGGTGTATGCAGTAACAACTCCAAAGTTGTTGCCGCCTCCTTTTAAGCTATGGAATAGGTCTGTCGAGTGTTAGTGTCTCGACGATGAAAAAGAACAGTACCACCCACCTGCGTTGTGGGTCTCGGTTGCGTGGACAATCGTGCCGTTGGCAAGGACAATTTCGTAGTCTAACACACTGTTCGCAGCCCAACCGTACTGGGTGCTCAGGAAACTCATACCAGCTATAAATCATTAGAGATAAACTCGGAGATCATTTCTGAAGCATATACCTCCGAGCATATATCCACCGACTCCAACTCCACCAATTCGACCTCCAACAATAGTCCGGCCAGTTCCTGCCAGGCCTTTCTGGACCTCTTCCCATGAAAGGCCAGGGCCAATGATAGCAGTATGATCCTTGGGGTTATAGTCAACCTGATTCAGATTCTTAGTCGAAACCAGCAATCCGTCCTGGATACTAGCAAATCCATTGTTGGGATTATGTCCTCCACTCTTAATGGCACTGTTTAGGGTTAGTTGATATCATTGTTGGCATACGGATAGAACAAACAATAGAGTATCTACATTGTGCAGATTCTTGATAACCTGCGACATCTCCGCTGCACTGGATGGAGCTGCAATGCATGTTGGCTTGAGATCGCCGCATCCGGTTGACCAATACTTCCACTGATCAGCCTTGTAGGCTAATGAGATACGGGGTTCGATATCAATGCCTCCAGCCTTGAGCGTCTTGCATATATCTGCTACCGTCCCAGGGACAAGGGCCAGGGATAGCGCCAGAGCGCGCCATCCGTTACTTGCGAGCATGTTGTCAAACTAAGTAGAATAAGAGTAGTGTTGCAAAATATAATGGAAAAAAGGAATGTGGTGCGAAGGGAGGACCTGGAACGGGAGAATCTGATGTCAGAATGTGTGCCCTAATAGATATACACCCTCACGATCAGTTCTATAGTGCGGGCCGATGGTTTAGTTTATATAACTTTTAGATAGCTTCGACTCCATAATCGGAGGATATTCTTCAAGCCACTGAGCACACCCCTCTTGGTGGACTTGCCAGGAACAGAAGTTGACAAGAGCTCAGAGAGGAATCCCCTGTAGCAATCTTGTTCACAGACTCCACTCCATCCAGGCCTGGATTGGGCACGCGGTTTCCGATTGGGCAAATGATCCTGCTTATCGACCTCGAAAAAAGCTCACAAATTGAATATAAATTTGTGACGAGTTGATCACCATGCTTAGAGACTGCATTTGGGTGTGGACCCTGCAGGTAAACTGAAAGGAGACACATGGCGGCGGAACGTAAACACCGTACATGCCTATGTTGGGCATGGATACGGAGTATATCGTTCGAGTCAACTGTGTCTGCGGACCGAAATTTGCATATCCGGATGTCTATCTTGTGCCGATCTCTATGCATAATGCATCGTATACGGAGTATTTGGCCTAATTTCCTTGCCAGACAGGTATATCGTGCAGTAGTGGGTCTCAACCAGGTTCCTTGTTAATCAGCTAAACTCGCGGAATGTGCCCGGAGTACTCCGTACAGAATATGTAGAGGGCGAAACAAGTCTAGGCCTCAATGATCGACAGATCAAACATGTTCGTATTAAGCCTTGGTATAGTAGAGTCAATCGGTAGGGCTTCGCTAGTTAGAAGTTAGTTTCGGTCAGCCACAGAAGTGGGATAAATAGTACACATAAGACAAAGTACATGAAAAAATAAGTGGACCAAGTGAGACATATTTTCTTTCTTTAATCCATGATTCCAAGTCAGGAAGGACTTTAAAATAAAGGGATAATCCATGGCATTCAAGCCACGGATGATTATAACTGGTTAGTACAGTATGTTTTAAGGGAATTCATTCCAGGTTTATGTTGGAGTTTTTCCAAGTCCAACGTGGAGGTTGCAGATATTACCCCTGACATGTTCCTGGAAACACTTTCGGTTACACAAATTAGGAAATGATACTCGCGTCAAGTTTTTTTGGTGGACTTGCCTTAGATCGACACGTCTTTATTGATACTACATCAGAGCATTCGGTTCGCTCCGAGCCGGGGGGCTGAGATAATTCCAATAGGAAATGGAGCGATAGCAAACAGGTTTTCCCCCGCTTGTGGCGATCTTCAATATTTTCATTTAGAAGAAAACAGGGTGGGACCTCGCGGGGGTTTTGGATCGACAGGTCATATTGAGAGTTACGGGATCGTCGAGATTGGGCATTGGTACTCTCGGAGCAAGAGAGCAGGGTATGGGAATATGGCGCAATGACTAGGTACAAAATATGGATGTACGGACATACTCCATATACATCCTTGGAGCAGCTAGTCCGATAGGCTGAGTTCTGATGCAGAGTTCACCAGGATTCTAATAGTTCAAATCCCGGATCCCGGGAGACTATTGTACTTGGCAATCTGTGGACGATGATATTGTTTCTACTCCGTACATTATGCAATATCGGAGAAATGAGACCATTCGTTTTCTCGTGAACCTTGTATTATGGACTGGAATGTTGAATCTTATCATGCAAAGAAGAATATACCACAGGCAGGACGGAGTACGGAGTACGGAGTACGGAGCAGGTACAAATCTCCAACAATGCAATATAGCAGTTTGGCTGATCCACATAAAATCCAGTCTCACTAATCCGTATAACTAGGGATTCCCTTAGCTTATTTGCAAGAGGCTGTACATCTCACATTGCTAGCGCTAGCGCATCCATACTCTACTCCGTACATACAACATACATAGCTAATAGAACTCGCTTATATCTACTATTTTAAGACAGCCTAGTTTGACTGATAGAATGCTCATGGGAAGGGGGCCTGGTCAATATTTGCTTGTTATGGAGCTGTATGGCTACATTGTGGCTCTACTCTTGTATGTTATGTCCTCTAATCTATGAAACTCATAATCACCTTACGGTTAGAAGCTGCAAGGCGCGATCATCAAGACTAGCACACTTATTGAAGATCACACGGTCCCATTTGCTACCGACATATTGAAGTCTTTGTGCGAGACCAAAATAAAAAGAATCTACCCTGGAACCGCCGTACTGTCGATATTTCTTTCGCTTGAGAAAAACGACCTAGGCGCTTTGAAAATCTACAGATCTAGTTAGCTAGCTGGATTAGCGGATGAAGAGTCCCTGTTTGAATAAACACTTCTTCTTTATGACTCCCTGATGACAGATATCCGAAACTGGAAAAAAATATTCGCTACGTCTCGATTAAGTATGATAATATCGGACTATTCATCTTGTGCTCGTGATATAAATGGGACTCTATACATCTGTTCTGTAATGTGATTGGTCGAAATAGCCCCCGAAATCACGGGACATGTCTTATACCGCCAAGGGCGGTATAGCAACTGCAGGCAGAATATACTTAGTTTTCGAGCCACCGGCGCAATCTTTCTACGCAAGCTCAGCTCTGGCAATGGCACTTACAAGAATAAGGGCTTTGCAGAGGCTGCCTGGTGCAAATTGTTCACCTGTGCTCTGCAAATGGAGACGGAATCCCACAGGATGTACGTCGGCAGCGTCCGCCACTCACCTTCCGGTGTTGTCTGGGGGGCGACAGTTGTCTACCACGAGGACAGGGTCGTCTGAAGCCGTTCGAACGGGTAGTGAGGTATTTTACACTGAAGAAGAGCCTGCCTTTCTGAACTAATCTTTGTTCTATTTCCGCAGGGAACATCCGAGCCAGACGAACCTCTAAGAGTACCCATCGATGGCAATATCCTCCTTAGGTCCCAACTTGAGTTGCACGGAGACATTCGAGAGTACCTAAAGAAATGGCAGGATACAAACCCGAATGATCTCGACCCCGTGCGACGATCCGACTCTAAGCATCGGCCATTAGAATTACCAGGCAAATCGGTCGGCACAATGCCTAACGGCCGCGACGCAATCGATGCCTGGGGTGACCCGAACAAGCTGAATCAGGAAGCCACGGATAAAGATGAATTTGAAGGTGAACACCTCGAGCAGGGTGACTTGATCGCCCGATTGAACGCCGATGGGGTGTTCAATTACGGAATCTACGTGCGGTCTGTTCACAAACAGAAACAGTTCTACAATGGCAACGGGAACTGGCGCATCTGTTCCAACGCGGAGCTCGACTATGTTATCAAAGGATTTGCACCTACAGAACTCGTCGAACCTCTCACCCCATGGTTCCCGGATAATGAGGCTATCGTAAGCCAAGATATTCAGGTGACCCCAGAGGGAGGTCTTCCGAGGCCCCTGGGTGCTCCTCTTCTGAGGATGATGAGCAACTTCAAGACTCATATATTGAAATTCTATAGAGAAAACTCTCAGATATTGGACGATCTTCATGATATGGTGGCAGATGAGACCGAAGTTCTCTGCTTGAGCCTTGAAAAGTTGACAACGACTGCTCTTGGAATTGACGAATCTGAATTGACCAGCGTCAACATGTTTGCTGTCCATCAGGCTGTTCGCCGGCATCCTTTCCTCATTGAAAAAGATGGCACCTCCTTGTTCAGCCGGATGTATATCGTGCAACCAAAACGGATTGCCAACGTTGTTAAACAGGTAGTCGACTGGACTCATGAGCACCAAGAGCATTGTGTTCGCGCCATAATGCGCAAAGATACCCAGGGGTCCAAAGATCACCCTATGCACCGATTTATCACCAAAGCACAGCGATTGATTCGCCTTAGCAGAAGGCTCCGCTCTCCGACCATTATGTCCAGCGTGGGACCATCCTCTAACAGATATTCGCCTGGACAGGATGGAAACCCACTGGTGTTCCGTGAACTTCCCACTGAAAAGTTCACTGCAGAGGACTCAATGATTATTGAATATCTGAAGCTGTACTCGGTCCCTGCCATTGTCATGCCGTCGGGTACTTTAAGATCAACAGCAACACATATCATGCGTGCTACGGGGATGTACAATACTCTTGGTCTGAGTGAGGCTTCAACACGACTTTTGTTGCAGGAGATTGGCATCATAGCTCCTTGGGAGAACCTTCTTCCCCTCGACCAGTATCTGAAGCTCCCTGGGCATGGCGTATCCCTCGCAAAGGACATGGAGTTGGAAGAGGTTGAGGACTCCTGCAGAAAACTCACCCCCGATCAGTTACAGGATTCTATGCAGCACCTGAGAAAGGACTGGGGAGATCTGCCAGTTTATTGCGTGGACGACGTGACGGCACAAGAAATTGATGACGGTATATCGTTGGAATCTATCCCAGGATCTCATGATACATTCTGGGTGCATGTCCACGTTGCCAACCCAACAGCCTTTATTGGACATGACAGCCCTATCATCCAGTATGCAGCCTCGCGACTCTTCACCAGCTACATCCCGGAACGCACTTATCCTATGCTTCCTAAAGCTCTCACTGAACCTCACTTCAGTTTGGCGGCTGGTCGGCCGGTGCTCACATTCAGTGCGAAGATGAATCGCCGAGGAGAAATCTTGGATAGCAAGATCCAAAACGGGACAATACACAATGTCATTAATTTAACTCACAAAACACTCCGCGACTTCTTCGACCCCGATTCAGAAGAACAGTTGGACTCCTTTACAGTAGGTGGCACGTTCACCGAGCCACCAATACCACAAGGTAAAACAATTCAACAACGCCTGCGGCCCGAGGACAAGGATAAATTCCAAATCATGCGTCAACTTATGCTCGCATTCCGCCAAACTCGCAGAAAGAATGGCGCCATGGACCTCACTCCTCTCAGCCCAGGGCTTTCTGTCTCAGTCCAGTCAGGCAACGCCCCGATGCCGCCGTGCGATTTGGAAGTCACAACCGGACGACATTATCTCGGTGATCCAATCATTCGGCTCAATGTGCATTCCTATGACCCATATGACGTTCGCGACCAATCCCGGGATAATTTGGTCTCCCTGATTATGAATTTGGCCGGGCACATCTCCGGCCAATTCTGCGCCGCGCGCAACATCCCCGTCGTCTACGATGGTACTTGGTACGACCCAGAATACGGACGCGTCACCAACAAAAACCTGGCCAATTTCGGCGGTGAGGGTTTCTATGAGCTCAGCGTGCCGTTAGCCTACTCTTCCACCACCCCAACTAAGCACCATACCCTGGGCTTGGATACGTATGTCAAGAGCACGAGTCCGCTGCGCCGATACACGGATGTTATTGCGCATTACCAGATCGAGGCAGCGTTGCGTTTCGAGCATGAACACGGCCGTCAGTTTGACGCTCTTGTTGATAGTCCCGATCCTGCAGATATCGATCTAGTAGAGACAGAGACAGAATTAGCAGAGACTGCCACTGAAATCACCAACACAAAAACCCTTCCTACCTCTCTCCTCCCCTTCTCCAAATCCGAAATCGACGCACACCTCATCTACTCCCAGCCACTGCGCTCACGTCTTAGAAATCTTGACAAATACTCCGCCCAGCATTGGGCTTGTATGCTCCTCTTCCGCGCATTCTACTTCAACGAGTGCAATCTCCCCGTCACATTCCCATGTCTGCTACGCACCCCGCGCGTCAAGCCTAGACATCTGGACGATGAGTATTCCGGCGTCATCACCAGTCTGGGCGTAAACTGCTCGGTCACCATTCCGCATGATTTCCCAGACAAAGATAAACTGGATATCTTCTGCATGGTCGAAGCTCATATCACTGCCGTTGATATGGCGTCTCTACAGGTGACAATGGAGGCGACTGAGTTTATAAAGCCGTTTGAGAGGAAGGGCGAATGGGCTTGATTGGGTGACTTCTTGTACAATACTGTATTATATGCATCTCCGATATCATCTCGAATCGTTATATAATTGGAGGATTTTCGCCTTCGAGGAACTATGAAACATTCCAAAATACTTTCTGCTAGAAGAAGGTCGCCATGATCACCCTGGACTCATGACCCCGGCGTTCTGGAGATTATTCTCCAATCTTGCCACCCCGTGTTCTTTCTCCTGTAGTAAGCTGTCGTCCTTCGGTTGATAAGTATACAAAACTTCAAATGCTAGAGCCCCGAAAGTAGTAAAGCTACCGTGCGATTAGCCAATGGATTCGTCGCATTCGAAAGAATATCACGTACAATGCAATGAAACTGAATGCCTCGACCGTATACTTCCGGCTACATACTGTCTGGTTGTTCCAGAGGTGGACCTTGCAGCTGACCTGGTTGAAATTCAAAGCCAGGAAGATGAATGCAGTGAGCCAGCTAGATGGAAGATCAGCATTTACTATAAAAGGGATGCTTCATATTTTCATACAGGTAAGAAATTACCGCGTCGGTCAGAAGCAGAGGGAGAACGTGCCATCTGTAACGTTTGGTGATGCAGCTGGTGCTTAGTGTTATGCCGTAGACGATTGGAGTGAGGACGGCCTGTAAATATTTAGAATTTCTATAATATTTTGAAGATATTGGAGAGATATACCACCACCAAAGAGAAGATCACTGTAAGGGTTTTGGTCTCGCGGACTGCCCAGGCTGTGACCCCGAGGACGACTAATGAACTAATGCATTGGATGACATGGGCGGCAGTTGAGATTATACCATAGGGATGAGAGAAGAATGCCATATTGATAGTGTATTGATCATGTATTAATTGTTTCTGAGATTAAGGAATTATTTCTGAGATTAAGGAATTATTTCAAGGTCCAAGAGGTTGGGTTTTCCTCCAGAACGGATGATATCGATGATATCACCACATGTGGCCAAAGTCACAAACTCGTCCTTTCTAAATCTATATAATTATTTGAGAGCATGCTATAGATCAGACTGTACTCTTGGCCTATAAGACCTAAAAGTCAATTGCTCGATCCTCCACACCTGGTCGAGTATACTTTTCACCCTGAGGAACTCGTCTCTTCGTACGAACAGACGGTAGGAGGTCAATGACGAAAGAAAATACAAAGAAATCGAATATAAAAGCGGCAACTACACAAGTTAGCTTCTTTTTGCACAATCAGACAGAGCTGAAAGCTTACCCCATTCCAAAATAGCTGCTGCGTTCTGCTTATTTCCTTTTTTCATGCATACACCAAATGCAATCGCGACAGCAAGTTCGCAGATGACGAAAAGGGATTTGATACCGAAGCTGACCATTAAGATCCGGGCTTGCGGGTGGTAGAATCGGCCAATGTAGATGTATTCCAGACACACCAGGATAGCACAGACCACGTAACACGCTCTGGAATCCAATTAGAAATTTTATCTGGGAAGGAAGAAGGAGATTCATACATGAACATGCCCAAGAATCCGTGGTGGAGCTTGTTATGATTCTTCGTATCAAAGATGGATAGAAGAATAAGACCTACAGCGCCAGCAATGGAGAATAGAATCGATCCAACCGCACAGGTCTTGTCGAATCTCCCTTTGTTTCGGGCAAGTTGACCGGCATGACGAAGCCAACGCTCAGAGAGGAGAGCGAGATCCATGAACACGACTGTTACTGCACTGCCGGCGATGAACAGCGGTTTGATCCCTTCAGCTCCGATATGGGAAATGTAACTGGTTCAATTGCCTCAGTCCATGTCACCCGGAGGGTTCAGGTTCATTTATTAGACTTACGGAATGCTGGCCCCATTGTCCATGGTTGAATATCTTGGTTTTCCGTCCGCCGCCCAGGTTGACAGCATAGCTATTAGCGTAGCTACAAGGCTGTTAGTACAGTAACCTTGATCCCTTGTGTATTTCAGCCCTCACCTATCCACATGCACCCAGATATCACGGGGAAAATCCAAAACGAGAGAATCCACATGGCTTCTTATGTGGCCCACAGGGTGTTGGAATCTTTAGATCAAAAAGACACTTGGGAATAGGTCGTATTTGATTCCAAGGGTAGTCCTTTTAAGGTGAAAATTCAGGGTTTACAAGGGGGGAAAATGGAGGTTTCCCAAACCAGCAAAGATCCCATAAAACCTAGATCTGTGACCCCCACAGAGATCTGAACCGAAAGATTTCTCTATACAACGTTGTACAACTTCACAGCTCTAGAGCTTAGATCTCGGACGTCCACGGGCGGGAGGGGCCGGATGCTGACATCAGCATATTTGGAATCATCCAACTTCATTTCTCGGGGTGTGGTCATGAAAAGTAATATTGTCTTCATATTTCCAACTAATTAAAGCCTTTGATATATCTGATAGTGTCCATTATTGCCCATAACTGGCCAAGGTGAATTAGGGGGGGGGGTCACTAGGTCACTAGGTCACCAGGTGGTGGGTAATTACTAGTTAAGTAGACTGCGACATCGCCCATGGACGGGCCTTACCCTTACCTAGGTAGGGCCGTGGGCGTCGTGAGCCTTTTTAGTAAGCAAAATCAGCGTAACACGTGATTTTTATTGATATAGATTTCGAAATATTTCAACGAAAGGTGGTTCCTGCAGATCAAGCCTGGTCGCCGTTTAAACCAAGATGATTTGATGGGCACTGAAAGAAAATGGATGGTCTTATGCCGTGCGATGAACAGATGGTGTATTTTCTACCTTCGTAGGTTAAGGAGCCCCCTATTCTAGATAGCATCACCATATATCACCATATGCTTGAACGAGCTTGACCATGAGATAGTCCTGCGAATAGAAAGTGTTAGAGCAATTACACTGACAGCACCTAGATATCCGATCGAATACATACTTTCCATCGCCTAAAAGAAACTGTTGATTCCTAAGATGGCACTCTTATAATTCTTTCGCCAACCTCTCAGCTATCGAGGCTGCAATCGAAGCGCAAGTTCTCTTCTCTACCGATCTGATCTTGTATAGCATCTCGTCAATACAGGAAAATGCAAATCTTAAAGATCGTCGGCTGATGGGGTCTCGTCTTCCTTAGGAGCATTCTCTTTCTCGAATTTCGGTTGATTGGGGGCGTGTTTGAGGGCCTGGGCACGTGTATCCGTCTCCTTGTTGGATCCGGTCATAGGGGAAACATACTCGGGCACTTGCGGAGACACACCCTCCTCCTCCTCCTCCTCCTCCTCCTCCTCCTCCTCATCGTCATAGAATTCTATTTTTGGCCCATTGCGAGGCTCACAGGCATAGTAGCGTAGAAAAAGGTTCCACGGCGCCTCGTCCTTACGGACAAAACTGTAGATAGGTGAGGCCCTGACCTTCAAGACACCAGACTTGTTGAATTTAGCCTGGACGAGACGTCCGTGTCGCGATCCAAATAGCGAGATGATCAACACCTATCGAGTTTAATAGCGTACTAGGTTAGCATACGTGCAAAAGCTTAGTAGGACTTGTGATATTATACTGGGAAAAGCGAGGTCTTTTCGAATTCCTTCTGTTGTAAACGATTTCGAATCGCTTGCGCGATACATCCTAGTTCGCAAAAAAGTAGTTCACCCTCGACAGTAACTGCACCAGTATATATAACGAGCATCATATGCGGATAAATCGTTTCTAGGTTACGGTAGTCATCTTGCCACTCGTAATCAGCCCTAACATTCCAAGATGGGATCTGGTTGGTTAAGGAATAGCCCCCGAGTAGCCCCCATGGGATATCTAAGAATGGGTTGCCATCCCTAATTTGGTCCCATTTCGAGGTTCTAGCAAGAGACTCAGGGTAGAGCTTGGTCTTCTTATACGAGCTCTCGTAGTATCTGTTCAGGTAAAGGAAGGTGGTTTCTGTGTTGTAGTCCATAGTGTCGGAAAGATGACTGCCTGTCGTACCTGTAGGAGGTTGGTACAGCTTGTCATAATTGTCGCATAAGTCGCGAGTGCCTTCAGGTTGTTCCGACATGTCTAGAGAGTATTCCATGATCTGCTCATAAGACATAGGCTTAAAGAGGCAGATATTTGACGCGATGAAGTTTTGATCCTCAGGATCGAAGGATCCAAGAGTAACTCGGAGCTTCGTGAGATCATTGCTTGAGTATGTGAGCTTTGGGTCGGAGCTGAGAGCCTTGAGGAGGTCCGAGACAGCTTTCTCGTACTTGACCCTCAGGGAGGCACAGTTCGCCGCCGGGTCGTCGGGCAGGGGCTCCATCGTGTAGGGCAGAAGAGAAGCTGTGGAAGCTGACTGAAGAGAAGTTGAGTTGGGTATGAAGAAGGAAATGGATTGAGGGCAGAGGTAAAGAGTGAAATTAATAGAGATGTGATACAGATGGAGAAAACACTGTATGTATTGACTGTATCGCACGAGGAGAGGAGGAAGAGAAGGAAAGGAGAGAGAGCTATCAAACATGTGGGTTCTATCACATAGTGATACCTCAGGCATCCAACACAAAGAGGTCCACGGGTAACTATGACAGCGGGAGCTAGTCCATTCCTGGATTAGCGTTATTTGTATGAGCCCTATGGACCTGAACCTCATGAAGTTAGAAAGAGCAAACAATGTCTTGTCTATACAAAAGCTTGATGGATAGGAACTTTGGCTCTGCCGCTTCACCTTGGATCTTGACCTGGGCCAGTCTCCGCACATACACTAAAGAACGATGCTTTGGTTGAGGCTGGGATAGGCCTGAGGTCCTAGGCAAGCATGGTAACTCAGGTAGTCTGTCCGGTTTCAAATAATTTGATTCACGTGGAGATGATATGGCCCTGCTAGTATGTTTGACTTCTATCATTTTTATGTTTTGTTTTGCAGCCATCTTTTAAAGAAACGATATTAGATCGGGAGATCTGATCGAATGTTGAGAACTGTGGTGTAGCAAGTTGGCCCTGCTCCTGCCACGGAGGGAGGACGTGAGACTTCCCTTGATGGTGCTGTAATATTCTATGCTTCCTTTCAACACACTAATCTTTCCTTTTTATTCAACCCACCACAACTTTTCTTCTCTCTCCAGGGCGTCTCTTCAGTGTTCACAGCCGACAATCGCACTCATCCCTCATGCCCCCCCCAAAAAAACCCCTTAAGCTAGATAAAGCGGTCCCACAGACATGGAAACAATGGAAGCTAGAGGCCCCAAAGCTCCGAATCTGGACGCACTCGATTCACCAGCGAGCCAAGTTGCTTCCAGGGTCTAAGATTGATCGCAACCAGTATTTTCTACTAGAGGTTCTCTAGGATACGGACCGTCCTTACGCCCACGCTCTGAACGAACTCGGTCTTGGCCAGTTTCACCATCAGGCTACAAACTGGCTAGCTACATTTATCCCATTTCAGCGATATATAGATCACCTAGAGAACTCGACCCCGCCCACCCCCAAAATGGGGATTTTCGATATTTTCTACTACCAACAGCGCGAGGTGAGGAAGTTCTTCGGCAACGAACCCAAGCATGATGGCCTGAGGAGAATCAACGAGGAAGTCGTCAATGCCTCGCTTGTTTCCTTCCTCATGGCAATCTGTATGAAGCACCCAAATGTGCAAGCCACATAGCCACCTCAGCGCGCCAGCCTCGTTGCAGAGTTCCGGAAAGCCACCATGGAGTGCATGCTCGACGGGTTCCTGTACTCTACGACATCCCAGACACAACTGATCTTGGAAGCGAAGGCCAAACGCCGCAAGAATCACGCCCCCGACGTATTCTGCCAGGAGGCCGCGGAGTTGGTCGCCGCTCTCTGCACGCCACCTCCGAAGGGCCTGACATAGAGCCGGTAAGTTTATTTACTTTGCGATCATGTATCTCTACTATAAGAAAGAAATCAAGTGCTTATTTGTAGCCAGGACGTTTTTAGTGTCCCAGGATGGTGATGAGCCCCTGGCTGAACCTCATTTTTCTGACCCCTGTCAAAAAGTGATAGTATGTTAAGTTATCATATAAAGCCTTCTAAACCTCACTTTTTTGATGGGGGTTAGAATATTAGTAGAAACCACAACCCCTAAGAAGAGATTTCTAACCATGGTTAGATATAATAGTAGATACACCTACTCTCTTAGAAGTAATTTTCCGACCGCGATTAGAATGTCTACATATGTATAGATTCAAGATACATAGGAGTGATGCCAGTCATGTGACTGGGAACTATATCAATGACGTAGGGAGCTCCAAACAACCTTGGAAGTCTACCTACCTACATGTTAGGTAGATACCTGTCTGAGATTAATAAAGAAAGTACTTCCAAGGTTGGATATGGTTATACCTAGGTATGACTATCACTTAACTCATTGCCTATCATCTAACTCATTGGCTGGTTAGTGACACCATAAACAAAGTATGTCTACTTCCAAGCCCTATCACAAGTCTAGAGTACAACATAAACTTGTGTACAAATGTGAGACTTGCCACATACATATGTAACAAAATACATAGATAATAGCCATGATCTCATTTTCATGCTGGTTGGCTATAGAATTGACGATATGTTTATAATTCAAGATATTCCTTGGCAGGCCCCAATGACGCAATTGTTTTGGATTTGATATGCTTCCAAGGATGATTGCCAGTTTTCTAGAATTTACAACTTCTATGACAATAAACTGATTTAAGTGGCTGTTGTAGAATGTTTGTACAACGTCATGTCAAAATGTTTGCTTGCCAGATATAAATACCTTCCTTCTGGGGAAATCAATTCTTATCTTCTACCATATCCCACATCTACTTCACATCTACTTGACTTCAAATCAAACTTCAACTTTCATCTATCATATCAATATGCAGTTCGTACGCAAGGCCGAAGAGGCCCTAACTGGCAAGAAGGACGAGTCACACGAGTCCACCAAGTCCTCCAACCATGGCCCTCACAAGTCAAACTTGGCCAACAAGCTCGACCCCCGTGTTGACAGTGATAAAGGTTTGTCATTTCACCTCATCTCTCACATCCCTTAAGACTATCTCAATGATACTAACTGCTTTAGACAACCGTGCTGCCCACACCGATGTGACTGGCGCTGGTCATGGTGCAACCCATGGCACAACTCCCGCTACAGGCACCCATACCTCTACTCTAGGCTCTAGCACTACCCACGGCACCTCAGGTGCGACTAGCACCGGCGCTGGCCTTGGATCTACCCACGGCACCACTGGCAGCACCAATGCCGGCCCCCACAACTCCAACATTGCCAATAAGCTTGATCCCCGTGTCGACTCTGACCGTGACAACCGTGCTCACCACGAGGGTCTTACTGGTTCTGGCACTACACACGGCACCTCAGGTGTGACTGGCACTCACGGCACCACCGCTACGGGCACACACAGCACCAACACTGGTCCTCACAGCTCCAATATTGCCAACAAGGTTGATCCTCGTGTCGACTCTGACCGTGACAACCGTGCTCAACATGGTCTCACTGGTGCTAGCACCGGTGCCGGTCTTGGGTCTACTCACCACACCGCCGCTACAGGCACCCACGGCACCACTACTAGCACCAACGCTGGTCCTCACAGCTCCAACATCGCCAACAAGGTCGATCCCCGTGTTGACTCTGATCGCGATAACCGTGCTCACCACGGAGGTCTCACTGGTGCTAGTACCGGTGCCGGTCTCGGATCTACTCATGGTACAACCGGCACTCACAGCTCTACTCTAGGCTCTGGTACTACCCACGGTACCTCAGGTGTGACTGGCACCGGGGCAGGTCTTGGATCTACTCACCACACCGCCGCTACAGGCACCCACGGCACCACTACTAGCACCAACGCTGGTCCTCACAGCTCCAACATCGCCAACAAGGTCGATCCCCGTGTTGACTCTGATCGCGATAACCGTGCTCAACACGGAGGTCTCACTGGTGCTAGTACCGGTTCTGGCCTTGGATCTACTCACCACACCGGTGCGGGCGCTCACAGCTCGACCCTTGGCTCTGGACCTGGTGCCACCCACAGCACTATCCAGGAGCAGCCTGTCTACACTACCGGTCCCATTGCTACCCCCGGCAGCAGCAGCACAAACGCTGGACCTCACAGCTCCAACATCGCCAACAAGCTGGACCCCCGCGTTGACTCGGACCGTGACAGCAGTGCTAAGCATCAGTCTACTCTCTCTGGTGCTGGTACTACTACCCACGGTACCCACACTCGTGGTACTACTGCCCCCACTGGCTCGCTTGGTGGCTCTGGTCTTGATACTGCTGGTCGTCAGGATGCTCTTGCTGGTAGCAGTTACAATGCTCCTGCCGCTGGAACTACTGGTACCACTGGTACCACTGGTCCTCATGGTTCAAGCATTGCCAACAAGCTTGATCCCCGTGTTGACTCGGATGTTACCCGCACTGAGAATGAGCGTCTTCGTCAAATCTAGGTGATGGACTAGACCTGGATTTCTCTTGCTATGATGCTACGAATTTGAAATTAAGAGCAAAGCAATTTAGTTTTCTTTCGATACAAATGAGAAATAATCAATTCTTCAATATTCACAGTGTTGTACATGTGTAGAGTAATAAGCTCACAGATCCCCATCACTCAACTCTAGAAGTAGATTTTATATTGTACAGTGAAGTTCCTTCAAACTCCAAAGACCTCTTTAATAAGTGCCTTCTTATTGACCTTGCCCATCGCATTTCTCGGAATAGCCTCTAAAACCTTCATCTCATGCGGAATCTTGAAAGACGCAAGTGAGCCCTTTAGCGCGCGCCGCATATCCATCGGACCCCAAGACTGTCCACTGCGACCCGAAGCAGCCGCATCAGGAGCAAGAACAACCACAGCAACGATCTTCTGACCCCACTGTTCAGACGGGAGACCAACGACCGCGGCTTCGATGACTTGGGGACTGGAGTGGCATCGTCAGTAAACATCTTTTTTAAGTGAATGTCCGAAAGAAACATACAGAGAAAGTAACTCCCTCTCAACCTCCAATGCGCTAACCTTCTCAGCCCCAGTCTTGATGATATCAACACTCTTCCGTCCCTGGATGAAATACATCGGTCCCCGGGCCCAATCTCCACTCGCTCCACTACCAGCTCCATCAACAACCCGACGGGTCGCGACATCGCCTGTGCAGAACCATGCTTTACCTCCGTCATCGCTCGGCACGAAACTCTCGCGAGTAGCTTTCTCGTTTCCCCAGTAATGGTCGAAGATTGTTTCGCCGCGGATCTGGATCTCGCCTTCGCGTTCTCGGCCATTGGGATTCTTTTCTTCGACTGGGATGATAGCACCTGTCTCGAGGTCGGCGAGTCGGGCTTCAACGCCTGGGAGTGGCCAGCCGACACTACCGTCGACGCGGTCTGCCACGTCAAGGCCGCAGCTAATCGCCATGCCGATTTCGGTCATACCGAAGCGTTCGAGGAGCACGTTGCCGTTGCTGAGGGTTTTCCAGGCGGTTTTTGTTGGGGTTGGGAGGGCAGCGGAGCCGGAGATGTTCAGGCGGAGGTTTTGTGGGGAGATTCCCTCTTTGGCGGCTTGTTGGACCTCTGGGGTTAGTGTGGGGAAGGTTGTCATGAGACGGTTGTAGATAGTTGGGACGGCAGTGAGGAATGTGATGGGTGAATTTGAGGTGCTGGATGGGAGAAAGGGTGCTGCTAGTCGTTTCCAGACTTTTTCCGGGTTGAAAGGGTACATGAACTCGATCGAGGAGCCTGCTACTATTGGTGCTAGGATTGCATTTACCACGCCGTGGATGTGGTGGAGTGGGAGCAGATGAAGAAGTCGATCATCCGGTGTGTACTTCCATGCTTCTAGTAGTGAAGATGCTTGCGCGGCCAGTGCTGATTGAGGGATGAGAACTCCTTTCTGCTTGGAGTTAGTTATAGCTCCATAGAAAGGAATTAACTGAGCCTACCGGTCTATTTGTGGTCCCAGATGTATACAACATCATCCCACCAGGCGATGGCCCCTTCAGATCGTGTAGGGTTAAGTTCTTGTCGCTCGATGCGCCCTCGATGAGCTTATTGCGAATAGCAAACAGAGGCTCATGCTCCAATCCCGATCGCAAAACTTCCATGCCTTTCTCAGCATACTTCTCAGTTGTGAGCAACATCTTAGCCTGTGAATTATCCAGGATATACTTCAGCTCCCTAGTCGGGAAAGACGGCGAGAGCGGGAGTGCAATGGCATCACTAGCAAAGATTGCTAGTAGTGTCACTATATGCCTATTAGCATAGATATATTATTCAATTGAATATAATGCAACAGTACCTACGTAGTCATAGCTGTTCTCCGCGAGAAAAGCAACCCGTTCGCCAGCCAATTGGCCCTGCGCCTTCGCAGCCTTTTGTTCCAGGTCATCCTTAGCGCGGACAATGTCGGCAATTAGACTACCATAAGTGAATGATCGGGAAGAGACACTATGCACAACAGCTAGGCTGTCAGGGTCATGGTTTTGTAGTGCGCGGAAGATATGTGTGTTTGGGAGAGTCGACAAGAGTCTTGCGCTGAGAGGCGTTCGTCGAGCGAAGCAGATCCGCGCATTGGAACGCGAAAGCAGGGAGAGTAAAGTGCTAGACATTTTGTTTAGATCTTTATTCTAAAAAAGAACATCTCACAGCCCCCCAAAAAAAATGAAAAGAAGAGTAATTGAAGTGTTGAAAGAGTTGATGTCATAAGAGTTGAAGTTCCCCGAAATTAAAAACATCCGATTGGCTTTGACGTTTCTCTCCTCCAACTTCTCCCTTTGATCGCTTCTCTTCAAATGCTTCCTCGCAGACTTCCAAGTCTGCTCCCTCGTCGTCTCTTCTCTGTTTCTGCTAGGATGACCTCCAATACCCCGTTGGAGGATGTCATGCGTGACAAGGTGAGCCACGCCTCTGTGTTGTTGATCTGCATTGCTAACGTTTCCTCTCTGTTTTATAGATCACACATGCATTCACACCTGCGAAACTCGAGATCCGGAACGACTCTCACCTCCATGCGCATCACGCTGCAATGGAAGGGTCGGTGTCGAAAGAGACACATTTCCAGTTCGTTCCCCTACCAACCGCATTCATGAGTGAATGTCTAATCCCCCGCAGTGTGACAATTGTCTCTGATTCCTTCGAGTCCAAGATGCAACCCGCTCGCCACCGTATGGTCTACGCATTGTTCAAGGAAGAGATGGCTCGTGAGGGTGGTATACATGCACTGCAGTTGAAGACGAAGACACCAGCCGAGGAGCAGCGCGAGAAGGAGAGAAAGGAGAAGGCATAGATAGCGGGTTGATTGGGCGTTCAGGTGCTCGTTTTTCTGCAAGAGTCTTGAGTCGGATACCCCTGGACGATGATTCGAATCTACATTTACACTGCACAAATCATCTATACCAGGGCTTATAGTATATATCAAATTCATACGCAAAGGAATCGATTATTAGACAGTATTACATAGGTTCTAGCGACAAACAGGGGCTGAAGAAAGCGATCTAGTATATACATCCATGCGCCGCGACATCACGAGCCCCGAAACAGCGACAATCATCAAGGGCCATCGCGTGTTAAGCGCGGAGCAGCTGTACACGAACACGCAGGTACGGCTAGGAGGCAAACAAAAGAAAAGAGGGGTTGAAAGATATTGCTTTTACACAAGGAAATGCGAAGGGGTGGTATAACGAGGGGATAAAGACAAATGGGGAGATGCAAAGATGCGTCCCCCAGGAAAGGTCGTACATGGAGGTCGGAAGGGTGCAACGGTCATATCACTTCTTGTTGGCGAAGATGCCAGCGACCACACCGACGATGATAGCAATAATAATGACTAGAGACTAGGTTAGCGGGCCAGATATTGATGTGCAGACAGGTAAATACTTACCAACAACTAACAGCGCCCACCACTTCCAGCGCCGAGCGTTCTTGGCGCTCTGAATAGCAGTGTCAAGCTTGGTGTTGGCATCCCTGACGTTTGTTTCTGCGTCACTGGCTCCTATCCCAATTTGCTCGACTGCAGGTTCCTGCTGGTGCACCAGCTCTGCAACCTCATTGTACAGGTGGCTAAGTTCGATCAGATCCTGCTCGATTTTGCGGATGGCAGCGGAACGCTGCAGAGTCGCCTGGCGGGCATCGTTGGCCTGGCGAGTGCGAGTACCGGGAACCTATTCCTCGAATATTAGCAGTTGACTCCTACAAAGATCCGAGGCGAAAACATACAACAAAGCTCTGCTCTTGTCCCATCAGAACATTTTGTACACCCTGCTCCAACTCCTCGGGGGAAGCCTCGGGGTTGGCAATCTCGTATCGGCGGCGCACTTGCTCCTCCAGACGCTTCTGGAAATCGCTCTGTGTGCGCTGGTACTGCTCAATCTCACGACGCAGGTTGCGGCTGACGTTCTCGACCTGGCCCTGTACGCGCGAGTCGCCGGATCCCGGAGTCTCCTTGATGCGCTTGAACTGATCGCGCAGGTAGCGCAGCGCAGTATTGATCTCATCCTCAATGTAGTCGAGTGTTTGGCGCGAGGCCTGGTCCTCTTTGCCGGTGCTTGAGTCCAGAAGGGCCTTTTGGGCGGCGACCAATTGGGTCTCACGCTTCTTCGTCAGCTCGGCGATGCTTTCGTTCATCTCCTTGCACTTGTTCAGAATTGCAGTTGGGCCACCAGATGAAGCTTGGTTGATGTTGGACATCTCTGTTGAGCAATTAGACTTGTCGCGTAGTGAAATCATCGGGATCAACATACCATAGCCACCATTTCCTTGCTCTGCAGCACCAGCCTGGTTATAACCAGCACCATATCCATAGTTCTGTTGCTCCTGGGCGCCATAGGGATTCTGCTGACTTCCGTACGGGTTGTACTGGCCGTAGCCGCCTGAGCTGTTATCCCCTAAGTTCTGGTACTAGGGAAATTTGTGTCAGAAAGCAAATTCAAGTAAATAACACATTGGTTCACTCACACTCATGATGTGTAGATTCTCTCAAATTTAGAAGATAATAGTTAAGGGGTGGGAGATGAAGGAGGGAAGGGTGAGACGGGAGAAGTGGAGGCGGCAGAAGTGCTGGCGGTGTCAGGAGAGAGCAAAGCCAATTAATTCGTCGCGCTGAAATTATTTTTTTTTGGTCTTCGAATTACTTGGGGGAATTATTGTGGTTTCATATAGGTTTCAAATATTTCAATATTTCATTATGGCTTTTAGGGGTCCTCTCCCTATTTTTAACAATTTTTCCAACACTATTCCTATTATATGCGATTTTGTGGAGCTTTGGGGATTGCGGCTGACGCTGTTCTATTTACAAGATTAACAGAATATTATTTCCCCCAATGTACTAGGTACTTCAATTTGATAAGTAATATCCACTTTAATTTATGTACCTAGTACTTATGTGAGGCAAGGTGAGTCTGCACGTCATGATTATGATGCAACTGTTGAATTAGACAACTCCAATAGGAATAAAAATCCAGTCAATTGAAGGAGGCAAGTCGGAAATAGCATGCGTTGAAAATTTGTGTATATGAAATTTGGCCAATCAAGATATCTAGAAAGGTTGAGCCTCATCTTAGGCAACTAAATATAACTTTGATGCCTTGAATAGCTATAAAGGCTGCATTAATATAATATATACGGAGTAGCATGTGAGGTATCTATTTTTATATATCATGGACTATCCATAACGATACCAGAGTCTTCATAGTTCTGCCTAGGAAAGTCCCTACCTCTACTTATCACCGTCTCTGTACTGTGCCCTTTTCAAGATGCTCGGCCAAGTCTTAGTCCCAAGTGGAGGTGCTCTATTTCTGCCTTGACATTGAGCAGTTTCCTCAAAATCCTTTGCCTTCACAGTTTGGGAAAAGAATATGGGATTCGACCAATGACCACCCAGGAATATGAGATTATTATCCTCTACCCAACTTCTGTGGGCGTATGAATCTCGAATCACCCTCAGACCCCCAGACCCTCAGACCTCATTGAATACGTGGAAAAGCGGGGGAAATACTTGATGTGATTGAACCCACTTCCAGAATCTATGCAGACTATCATATTCATATCATTGTGGAGGTCCCCGCAGCCAGCCCCAAGATCAAGTGGCCCACCGTGGGGTGAGCGAGGCAACGATGGTGTTTGGAGCTTAGGACTACTGTCAATCATATCCATATAAGGAAAGCGAATGGTATCCATTGAAGATATGTGAAGTTGATTTGTTTGATTATTTTCATTTTCATTTATAAGTTATATATACTAAATTAAACCGAGCGTCATATCATACCACGTCTCACGATCTGCACAGCAGTTTTAAAACAAAAGTGCTCCGATGATGCAAGCGAAGATGAAAAAAAAAGTACGATCCCAGCGTAGAGATACTTGCAATGCCAATGCGAATGCCAAAAGAACAGGAAAAACAAAAAGATATTACAAAAGCACCGATGCTTACTCGGACTTGGACTGGTGCCGTTCAGCCTCAATCGGGGCTTCGGGCATGTAGTCGTCAGCATCGAGGGCGTTCATGTCATCTTCCTTGGCGTTCAGGTGGTGGAAGATGGCGTAGAAGATGATACCGCAGAGGCAGGATGCACAGGCAAGACCGGTGAACATCCACATGATGGCAGGATCGAAGGCAGCGGGGGTGAGTGCCTCGGCGATAGCGGATCCGAACGCGTTCGTGAGAAGGTACATAGCCTGCACGAAGGACTTCATGCTGGGTGGCGCCTTAGTGTATGCGTACTCGAGACCGGAGACCGAGGCGAAAATCTCAGAGACACCCATGAAGACGTAGGCCGGGGTCTGGATAGCGATGTGCACCTTGTTTCCGTAGGCAGTGCCATCAATCATGGAGGCTTCGCAGAGAGGTGATTCGTAGCAGGGTCCGGCGGAGTAAATCAGGTGCTGCACGATAGCGGCGTACATCATGGCAAGCGAGCCGACGATGAAGCCAAGGGCGATACGGGTGATGGGGCGGAAGGGGATCTTCATGCGGCGCATCACGGGGTAGACGCAAGTTTCGAGGATGGGGATGAAAACGAGGATAGAGATGGGATCAAAGTTCTGCATCAGATCGTTGGGAATACCATGGCCGTCCATCTGGCCAGCTTGGGTGACGAAGTTGCTCGAGAACTGTCCGTAGACGACCCAGTAGATCGGGTAGAAGGCGAACACGCGGCAGGCGACTAGGGCGCGCTTCAGCTCATCGATAAAGTGGTCGTCCCAGGTGACAGCGGACGCGCCATTGCGCTCGGTCTGCCATGAGGGCTTGGGGGCGTCCATGTTGCGGTTCTTGATCATCATCCAAATAGCGCGGAAAGCGTCCGTGATGATGGAGCCCTGGGGTGGGCGAACGATGTAGTGCTTGCGGCCGAGAATAATCACCAGGGTACCGACCATGAACATGCAGAGACAGAGAAGGTAGGCGGGCCAGAAATCGATGTACAACTCCATGTAGGGAGTTGCGAGAAGGGAGAGCGAACCGATGTTAATACATCCGTAGAAGATCATGTAGATACGCTGGATGGTCAGGGCGGGGTCGATGACGACGCGTTCGCCCTTCTTGGTGGTGGAAATAGCCATCTTCTTCCGCTTGTACTGATCGGCAATCAAAGGAGCCACGTTACTCTTGATACCACCGGTACCCAGACCGATAATCAAAATGGCGACAATGAAACCACCGATGCCCGAGCCGTGTTCCAGGGCAGTGGGAATGGAGGTACAGACTAGGATGAGTAGACCAACCATGTAGATGATACAGAACACCACAATGGTCTTGTACTTGCCGAGATACTGATCGGCGATAATGGCACCGATGATGGGTGTAACATAGCACCAGAACTGGAAGAAGGTAGTGAGACCGGTGGCACCCTGGTGATCCATACCGAGTGCACCACGTCCCTGGCTACCATCGCGAGGTCGCTGGATGTAGTTCTGGAACAGACCGGACATGCCGTAGTATGTGAAGCGCTCGCAGAGTTCGACGACGGCCACTAACCAGGCGGCAAGGGGCAAGTTCTCTGCAACATGGCGCAAGGAAGTCTTCTCCGAGAGCGTAGGTTCGCCGCCGTCTGGAGTGACCAAGTTCTCCTTGTCGAAATCGGGATCCGTAGTTTTTTCATTCAAGACGACATGCTGGGTGACCTCCTCGTTGTACGGAGGACTAAAGATAGGGTTAGTTGCAGCTCATGACCAGGCATAAAGGATAACATACGCAGCAGTCTCATTCTCACGGTCTGTGGACATGGCTACAAGACCAGATGATGCCTCCTCTTTCAAGAGGGCCAGAAAATATCGCAGTCAGAGTAGAGAAAGAGAGAGAGAGAGAAAAAAAAAAAAGGGCGTGTGATTAATACTAAATATGCAATTTTTCATTTACCCAACATCCGAGGCCGAGTGGGACCATGAATTGTGTTATCTCAAGAAAAAAAAATAGAAAAAAAAGAAATAAATCAATTTGAACATTTTGCCGCCATGCGATGCCACTAAAGCTCATCCGAGGAGGTCGGTTATTGAACGGATATTGGCCATTGTTCATAGCTCGACCGTGGATGTGATCGGCGGTGTTTATCGTCTAACGACGAATGGTTGAACTCGAGATGAATTGACCCACGAATGTAACCACACGGCACGGAAATGAACAAAATGTCAAGCAATGAAATGCCGAGTATTGGGTGGGTTGACTCAGATTGGATCAATCAAGAATTGTGTGAACTTTTTGGCATCTGGGGGATTCTAGTCCGAGTCCACTTTTGCTTTTTTTTTTCATCGAATCATATCGAGTATTGCAGTCGGATATTGCCGGTGAAGCTTGAAAATTTCCCAGTTGAGGATGTTTCCGGTTGAATTCGCCACGAGGGCAAATATCTTTTTTTTTCTTTTTTCTTTCTTTCCGGAATCCAGTCCATGCTCCGCTTGCAAATCGGGATATATTCGGGAACTGATTGACCGAGATCTGTATATGTTGTATGGCCTGGGCAAAGGTGCATAAGTTGTACTTCGGAGGCATCCGAGGTTAGGGCATATTCGTTTTCGGATGTGCGCTTTGAAGAATTCCTGAGTTCAAAGCCAATAACCCACCATCTCGGTCTTCTTTCCAGATGTAACGTTGGGGCCTTTCTTCCCCTCCTTTTGCGAGTTTCGAATGTCTCAAAAGCTCCAAGCTACCCGCTTATCCGGCACCTTGTTTGGTGTTTCCCCGTCAGGAGATGGAGCCATATGCCATTTGAAGCAATAACCCGAAAGAAATCATTTTCCATTCCAATCCTGATCTGGTCTGGTCTGGTCTGTTCTTGGTTCTGGGGTAATTTTTCTCTCGTAAGTGTAGAGTCGAAGCGACGGTGGATCTGGTGTTTGGTGCCTGCCAAGCCCACAGATGATAAGGGGAGAGTTTCTGTTAGTATTGGTCATTAGTATGTTCATGGTAGAAAATTATTCACAAATCTCAGATCAATTTTTGAGTAGTGAAGGGAAGAAGAAGAAAAGAAAAGAAAAAAAGGAGGAAGGATCAGAGATGACTGCAGGGCATACCGCCAATAAATAACCCCAAGACAACACCAAGAAACACCAAGAGTCATGGCATACGCCCTTCGGACTCCGACTTCGCTTCTGAACGCTAAGCTCTCGGTCCACCAAGGGCTTATCAACACTGAAATGATACCAAAATGGTAGGCTTGGGGGCTTAACTGCCAAGCGTCTTGTGAGTTTCACCAAGACTTTTATATTTCTCCCAAGATATTGGCAACCCCCCCCCGACATCGGCAACTGAAATATGTATCCAAGTCCCGTATCTGTTCTTGAGAAGCCCTTATAAGGCTATATTGTCTTACTCTTCTCATCAGCTCGGGTTTACTTACCAATTTGTTAGTTCTCTTCATATCTCAATTCTCCAAGCCACAGTTCATACCGTTACGGCTGGAACTAGGCAGGACCGCTACTCTCTCTCGCTGGGCCAATACGACCGGTCCAACATCTTGCGATGTCGG